GCTAGTAAAGACTGCTCCTTCTCACGGGGCCGGCATGGTTTGGCAACAAACGATTCTTCTGGCCACCAGAACCCCCACCCCAAATTGAACAAAGCGTCTGCCTGCCCAATATCCAACACTTCTGCCAATACTAGTTCCTTTCATAGTCCTGAGGGCTGCTTTTGTGAAACATAACAACACAGCTAGCGTTCAAACAATCAAGGTTTGACAAGCTGTTAGTTAATTCATCCGAGCACTCGGGATAAACGCAGTTTCCTTTTACTTTCCCATTGCTGCCCCGTTGGCCCAAGAAGGATAGGACAAAAAAGAACTGGGCTGCTCAGGGAGACCCTCCAATGTCTGCTTTTCTCCTGGACCTTGTCAACTTTGAGGGGGGGGGGGGGTAACAATCAGGGTTTATCATTGCCAAACAAAAAGGGTGCAAGTGGTAGGAATCAAGAGACAATTGCCATTTGTCCAGGGATATCTTTTCCAGAAAACTACCAAAACCCCGGGAAAAGGGGCCATGTATTGAACACAATGATCAACCTTTCTTCCCTTCGACAGGAAACTAAAAGCACACTTGCTTAAACAGCAGCAGTTGCATATGTCCTGGGATAAGTCTCCCGTTCTTTCCAAAAATGGTGGGCCCCCTTTTGGTTCGTATGTAAAGGGAAACCAAAAGGAAACCGCTTTCATTTAAGGGACAGGTTCCAATTTTGACAAATCCCCATATGCACAAAGCAAGGGGCGTTGGAGAGCACGGTGCCCGTGAGCCCGAGGTCCGGGAAGGCGTGGGGACTGTTCACCCAGCGCCCGTCGCTCAAGCCAGCCACCTGCGCCGGATCCAGGTCCAGTTGGGTTGAAGTAGATTCGATAGCACAATTCCCTTTCTGTCTGTGAAGGGGATAATTCAGCCAACACGTTCTCAGGGTAGTCTGAAGCGGATGCCCCTAGCTTCTAGTTTACCGTATTGGCATGTATGTCCCCTTAGGCACTCCAGGGAACCCTGTCCGGACAATCCAACATAAATATGGGGGAGGTCAGCTGCATGCCTGTCATTCGCATGCCAGTGCACATATTGCTGACATGAGGCCCAGTGGCCATAGACACAAAGGCCGCCCGTTTTGTTGGTAGCAGCGGCCAAAAACAGTTAAAACAGGAAGCATCCGAATGGGTGTTTGGGGTACAAGGTTGTGTTTAAAACCGAACTAAGCCATGATCGCAAGATAATAGTTTAGTATGACACCTCTATATTTGTATCGACACACCGAACTAATTCTTTCAAGGGGCTATTCATATGCCTGGCACAGGGGATGACTGAACCCAAATATGGAGATTGTGCCTACTTTCACCCGACAGTACCAACACCCCCAGAACGACTGCCTGTTACAGCACCATGTCCAACAACCTGAAGAAGTCACTGCCAACCTTTTGCAGGTTTGATGGCAACGCCAATTTGGGTGTATCTTTTTTTTGAGGCTACTACCCCCTCTGGTCGGTTTTGAAGGGAAACCCCAGGGAAAACCACCATGTTGCGCGGGTCCCCGAAAAAAACACTCCGCCCAAAACGGGGGCGCCTGGCGCTGCTGGACCGCCTCCGAGATGGCGTGGATGTGCATCTTAGAGAGCTCCTACCAGCGCTTCGGAGCTACTCGGCGTCCCGACAAAGGGGGGCAGGGTATGTTTCCCGGGTATGCTTTCCCCCATATGGCTGTGGGTCAAAACCCTGTACCCCTGGTGAACAACAATGTAGGTGGCCCAGAGGTACCTCGGGTGTTCATCCGCCCCAAAATGGAGTCATAGGTTATGACCCATGGCCATATGCAATGTGTTGTTGTTTCTTGCTTCGCCGATCCTTTGGTGGACATCCTTTACATGAGGAGTTATGCCCAACCATCTTGGAACCCTATCAACATTCATCGCACTTGTCCAAACATCGCCAGCCACCGAAAGGAAGCTCACTTAACAACATGTCCTTTCCAAAAGGGTGTTCAAGCGGCGAAACATAGGGTACCCGGGCAAACAGGACAGGCTACAGACCGCCTAGCATACAAAATTAGGCGCAAACACAACTTTGATGCTTCGGCCCATTGCATGTCATGGGCCCAGCCTCCTGCTCATAGCGATTGCCTCAGATGTGCTTCCACAAATGCTCACACCAACTCACAACAAATACCAGAAGCTCAAGTACCAAAAACACAAACACGAGTGCCAAACAAGCCCTTTAACATCTGTTCAGCAGTATACCGTTGCAAGATGGAGCTGATCCTGGTACGATACAAAGGCACACTCATAACGACGCACTCTGTTTCGAGGAGCTCTTGTATCATCTTGAAAATGGATTTTGTATCGGCATGCAAAGCATGCAGATTCCAACTGAACCGTCCGGAAATACCGAATCCTTGAAACTTGTAAAGTTAACCACCGCTGTATCCCTGGGGACCACGGACCCTCTTGGACCCAAAATTGACGTCTCCCCGACTATGGCAATATTTTCCACGGAGTTCCAAATATCCAAGCCCTTTATGCAACCCACACCCAACCCTAACGACAAAGCAAAGGCACATCGCTGGCACATAACAAGTCCCAAGCCCAAAGGCTGAATTGTGTGCCACAGAGACCAACTTGGGACCCAACAAGTCGGGACTTATTGGCCCCGATCCCATTTTTGCGGGTTGATGTCTCCAGGGTTTCCCACAACACCGAGCTACTTTTTGTCTGACCAAGTCTTGCACCTTTGAGCGATTTAAAATCAGGCACTCTTACAAGTGATTGGATCGGTTTCTTCTATCTTCCTGAAGGCATCCCTAGCCAAACTTACTCATGCGACACGGAGCCCGAATTATGGCTTTCTGGCAAAACAGTCGCTCTCGAATGCTCCGGAAGCAAGCTGCTTTCGGCATGAAACCAGCCCTGGTCATGCATCTCCACCTTCTGGTGCGTTTCCAGCTTTGGATGAAGCTCGCCTTCCTCATCCACCTCTACCGGCGCATCTGCCCCCAAGGGCATGCCATCCGGCCCGTACCTCACTCACGTGAAACCTCCCAAAACTGGACAAAGCTGGATCTACGGTTTGGCTCAAAATGGACCACGGGAAAACCAAAAGGTCAAAAGGACTATTACGATTTCGCATCGGGTCCGCAACTGGGGCACCAAACAAAAACAACTGTTCAACTACGGGTTACAAACCAACACAAAGCTATTAGAAAAAAGTAATTGCCACATTTCGCAAACCCAAAAAATCCGCTGAGGTGCAGAAAGTGGTCCGCCAAAGGTGGGGGTCCCTTTGGCTGTGGCTTGGGTTTGGCCTTCGGCTGTGGATCGCTGTCCAGGGAGTCGAAAGCCTTCACCAGGCCCCGACGGTCCACCACCTTCGTCTCGTCCAGGTCACTGGCCTGGTACCTCACGGGAAAGGGGGGCCGGAGACAGGGAAAGAGCGTGTATTGGTTTCTGGAAGACACGAGGTTTCGAGGGAAATGAACCAACAAACGATGTGTTCTGTCAAAAGACACTATGTTTGTAGTGGGGCGTAAAAACAAACAAACAAACAAACAAACAAACTGAGAGTTTTCCCGCAAGCATTGCAATATTACAGATGTTTGCAGCTCTAGGTACTTCTTGGTGTCGCTGAGCACATCTTCTGGATAGCCCGCATGCGACAGCATAACGGCGGAAGGGAAATGGCCCCCCGCCGGGCAGCTACACTACCGAAGCATAGGTACAATCTGAAGCCATATGGCTGCACGGTGCCTTTGCCTGATGCAGGTGCAAGCCAACCTCGTTCTGAGGAAGACAATCCACAGTGCAAACGCATCCTGCCATCTCAAGTTGACAGGGAGACATGGGAAGCCAAGGCGACGCCTGCTGCTGATAAGAATGTGCCCTCGATATTGGAGGATTGGCTTTTTGGGGGCCGTCTTTTGGGTTCCGACAACGTGCAGGGGAGTAAGCATTCTCGCTTGCTGCGCCATCAAGAACTTATCATGTCAGAGCCATGACCTTGGCTAAGCATTGATGAGGAAGTAGTTCAAGCCAAATCGGACCAGGACAAAATCCTCCTTGGCTTGCCTTCAACACCAACCAAAAGATATCAAAAGGGTGTTCTCCCCAACAAAAGCACCTATTCTTTGCGTGACCCAAAATTTTGGGTTCTAACATTTGGGCTCTGGGATGCTTCAAACATGACTCTATCCTTCGGTGCAAGCGAGAACCCGTTTAGACCCCGTTTAGGGTCCCCTGAATACTCTCCCAAAAGTGTACACCCCTTTGAATGCGTGGGTCTGTGCTCCTTATGTGGACCGGATGCACGGATTCACAGCTCATGTTCAGGCGGTCTCCAAAATGATGCCGACGAGCGGCCCTGGATGGTTGCAAAATTGGATGCTTGTCAAGGCATACACACGTCAAGCCTCTGTTTGGTTCTTGGGTTGGTCTTTCACCTGCTGCAAAACAATCGTATTGCTGGCTAGCAACGCAGTCGTCCAAAGGTAGGTTAAAGCAAAGAGAGTGACCAAGTCCTCGGAGATAGCACCTGAAACCTGTCCCCAGCTCCAATTTTGCGCAACAGAGCTGCCGGGGGAAGGAACATTTTGCCAGTGGGCCATTGCGTTTCTCCCAAATGGGTTCTTCTTCCAAGTCTGTTGAGCAACCCAATCCAGATGGATCAGCCATACCCATGACTTCACGATGGACTCCTCGAAAGAGAAACCTAACCACATCCTCAGAAGCCTTGCTGGCAAGCCCGGTCGCTAGCTTGAGAGCAAACAGAAGCTGAAAGTAGGGCTCAGAAGTTGCCCCCGAATGGTAGGCCACAGGGAAGGCCCAGTTTCTGACTTTGATACCGAAAGGGGACAGTCCAAGGCATGTTTAAGTTACCTTCAGACACCCCAGACAAATAGATAAGATCCTAATTACTGAAAGAGGCTCCGATTAGCACCGTTCCTCGGCATGAACAACATTTATTGGTTTCTCAAAACAAAACATGAGTTGAGACGAACGAATCCAAACGATCCCCTCGCCTGTGCTGAGCGAGCTAAAGTTGCTGGACTTGGCGGCGAGCAGTGGGCCGCTCGCAACCTGCCGTGCGTCGGGTAGCGCACTCCGAGAAGCCACCGGGAGGAGCCAAGTGCCGGCGGCAACCGTGGAGGTTTCGTAACATGCAGAGGCGAGCATACAAGCAAACATGAACTGTCAAACAACAATGACATACACCACCACAACCAAAAAAGCGCACAAACCGGCTGGAACTTCAATGAATCAAACCACCATTCGGGGGCTCCTGTTGAAAGAACCATGCCCAGGATAAGAACCTCCAAAGCGAGGCATTGAGCATTGCACAAATGGACTTCTTTTCCGGCTGTTCGGCAACCCGTCCTTCTAAGGGTCCTTGAATTCATGGCGGAACAGCCGAGGCAATGTGCGCAAATCTTGTTGTTGCTGCTCGAAAACGGCTCCGCAAGCCACTGCTTGGATGCCCACGCAACCAGAAACGGGAAAGAGATCCATCCAAGAATATGCTTAAACACTGTCACTGTCTTCTCGAGACCGGCCTCAGGCTGCCCAATACCTGCTTGCACGGAGAACAGCACGCGAGCCGAGGGGTTCCTTAGATCGCGCGACATCTCCGATCAACCCCAACCTAGACGAGACCTTGCGCTGGTCAGCCGGAGACCTGATAGGTGTCCGGATACGTCCAGAAACTGGGGAGGTGACTCAAAAACCGTGTGCATGCACCTGGACTCCAAGGAGCTTCAACAAGCTGCTGACAGCGCGCAAGACTCGCTGGATGGAAGACAAAGGATCTGTGATTGCTTGCAAAAACCAAGGCACAAAAACGAACAAACAAACCAAGAAGCATGCATGCATACATGCATGCAAGCAAGCAAGCAAGCAAGCAAGCAAGCAAGCAGGCAAGCAAGCAAGCAAACAAACACATCAAAGCAAACAGAAAAGAACGCACAAACAAACCGACGGACGGACACACAAATGAACAAACAATCAAACATACATGCAAGCATACAAATAAGCAATCAAGCAAGCAAACAAGGACACCCACAAGCAAGCACGCAAACACACACACACACAAACACACACACACACAGCCACAGCCACAGCCACAGCCACAGCCACAGCCACAGCCACAGCCACAGCCACAGCCACACACACACACCACACACACCACACACACACACCACACACACCACACACACACACACCACACACACACACACGCACGCACCCACACACACACGCACACATGCCCGCGCGCGCGAACACAAAACCAACCAACCAACCAACCAACCAACCAACCAACCAACCAACCAACCAAACAACCAACCAAACAAACAAACAAACAAACAAACAAACAAACAAACAAACAAACAAACACACACACACACACACCAACACAACTAACACAACCAAGCTAATTAGCAAACAAACAAACAAGCAACCAACTAACCAAACAAACAAACACATAACATACACACACAAACAAATGAACAACCAACCAACCAACCAACCAACCAACCAACCAACCAACCAACCAACCAACCAACCAACCAACCAACCAACCAACCAACCAACCCACCAACCCACGAACCAACGAACCAACGAACCAACGAACCAACGAACCAACGAACCAACCAACCAACCAACCAAATAACAAAACAACCAAACAACAAAACAGTCAAACAACAAGCGAGCAGACGAACCAACAACCGCCCAACCCACCGACTGAACGACCGACCAACAAACACACATTTAAAAAAAGCAAGGAAGCAAGGAAGCAAGGAAGCAAGGAAGCAAGGAAGCAAGGAAGCAAGGAAGCAAGGAAGCAAGGAAGCAAGGAAGCAAGGAAGCAAGGAAGCAAGGAAGCAAGGAAGCAAGGAAGCAAGGAAGCAAGGAAGCAAGCAAGCAAGCAAGCAAGCAAGCAAGCAAGCAAGCAAGCAAGAGAGAAACCAACCAACTAGCCAGGCAGCCAACCAGACGCACGAACAAACAAACAAACAAACAAACAAAACAAACAAGCCAGCAAACAAACAAACAAGATAGACACACAGACATACACACAGGCACGCAAACAAACATACAAACACACGATCAACCAACCCATCAAACAAACTAGCCAAATAATGAAGCGACCCATCCTATTCAAACAGTGCTGATACAAATACTGTACAAACTAGCCAACCAACAAACAATCAGACATGTACAAAATGATTTCTCTTGTGGTTTCCCTTTGACGCGCTACTCTGGCGCCAGCCTACTGCGCATGCATGGCGCTTAAACCGCAGCCCTTTGCTTTTGATAATGCTCGAAGCTGTTTGACTTATTCGACTAACCAAGGTGACCAAGTTCAAGTCATACATCGCACGTCAGCCACGTTGTTTATCCTTTTCACCGGCCAGAGTCGAGAAGCCTGAGACTTTCACAATCCGCGAAAGCATCCCAAGTAGTGTTGATACAATCCGGTCTGGGTGTGTCATGTTTCAGGGTACCCAGGCTGTGTTTCTGCTTTGTTCTGGGGAACTAGAGAAAAAGCAACAACTATTCTGTGGTCTCCAGCGCGGAGACAAATCCACCAGCGAATGAGCCGAGGCTCGGCTGCACCAGTTGCACTCGGTGTGTCTGCTTCAGCGCAATGTCTCGCAGCGGGCCTGCAGGGTTGGGCGATTCAAACATCTGCTTAAGCCAAAGTTTGAGCCAATATTGTGGACCCAAACAACGACCATCAGTTCAACACATGCAACATGTTAACCAAACAGCACGGTGACCAAACCAGGTCTGCAAAAATCACGTTTTGCCATCCTGAGGTCCTGGCCTTCCGTCCAGCTGTCCCCCAAGTTCCAGAGGACCACCGGCTCACCCGAAATGGTCACAGCCTGCGGTGATGTTGGGTCTTTAAAAAAAAAATCCGGCGAATGGAGACTTTGTGTTGAGGCGAGCCGAACGAATGCTACTGGGTTTACCTTAAAAACAAGAAGTTCTCCTCAACTATGCTTTCGGTCACCCTAAATGGGTTCCAGCGAATAGGGTGCCTTGTGGATGCTATACATATGACTGTCCTTTTGGTGCAAGCCGAACATCGTCCACCCCACCAAAAGGAAACCGCTTCCTCTTCTGGTCCCGATTGAACATTGCACCAAAAGGAAACCAATCTGTACCTGGCCCTCAAAGGGGGAAGTACAAGGACCCTGGGAATCGAATCCAGAAATCCGCTGAATCCGGATTCCAGGTGGAGGAGGTAATCCCCAGAAGTGGCTACCCGAAACACTAACGTAGCTGTGCAAAGGTCGAAACCTTTTCTGGGAGGGATTCAAAGTCTTCCACAAGGCAAAAACAAAGCTGTCATGTTGCCTGGTAGCAGCATCACCTTCAAAAAAAGGAAATGGATTGGCTGCTTTGGTCTTCAAAGGATGAAAGGTTGTCAAAAGCCCACAGGCGAGGGTGTGTGACAGCGTTCAATGTCTGTGATGTAACAAACGACTTGTTCCCTACTTATCCTGTTCACCCCGGGTGAAACTGGCTGCCATCGCTGATCAGTTCAAGGGTGCTGTGCAAAACACGAGAAGTTGGTGCAATATCGTCATCGTTGGAGATGCAGCGGATGCTACGATGATACTTTTCATCGTCTTCCTCATAGTCATCATCCTCATCATCATCATCCTTTCTTACTTCTTATTTCGAAATCAAAAGTAACGTTAGACCCCACTTGCAATGCAACGGATGCTACGATGATAGTTATCGAGGCACTGCTAGAGATGCAGAGGATGTTGCGAACGACAATACTTGTCATCGTCTTCGCTGGAGATGCAGCGGATGCTAGGATAATACTTTTATCATCTTCCTCATAGTCATCACCATCATCATCACCGCTATCATCATCCTCCAGAAGATGCGTGTTCATGATTATCATTATAACTGCTGGTGATGCTAAGGATGCATAGTGAGATAAGTATCATCACCCGATTTTCATGATCATCATGATTGCTGGTGATGCTGAGGATGCATAGTGATGATTATCATGCGATTTGAGATTCGTCATCATCACTTGTTTTTGTTATCGTTGGAGATGCAGCGGATGCTACGATGATACTTTTCATCATCTTCCTCATCATCATCATCATCCTTTCTTTACTTCTTACAAAGATATCAAAACGGACGTTAGACACCACGTGCAATGCAACGGATACTGCGATGATAGTTATCCAGGCACTGCTAGACAGTCACTATCATCTTCTTCATAGCCATCCTCGTCATCATCACCGTTGTCATCATCATCATCATCATCCACTGTTGGAGATGCAGGAGATGCTGCGATAATACTTGTCATCGTCCTTGTTGGAGATGCAACGGATGCTACGATGATACTTTTCATCATAAAGTTGATCCACCATGTTGAGCTTCGAAGTGTGGTCGGTGAACATTTCTGGCCTGGTCCAAATGAGGGCCCCGCAACACCACCCCTTATGGTGATGTATGCATTTACTGTGTACACAAATGTATGTATGTGTGTGTCATATGTCCATCTATACAAAGTGATTTAGACGCCATGCGGTCCCTTGGGCCTGTTGCAGAGCAAGCGGAAGCAATGTTGCAGAGCAAGCGGAAGCAACGACTGCTTTCCGCACGTATGGTAATCCCCGTGTTCCTTGTGTCCGTGTTCACACTTCTGGACGGCTTGATCACAGGTGGAATCCTCTGTAGTCATCCAGAAGAAGGAATGACCCTCTATCAAGGGCCCTGACCATCTTTAGTGGGCACTGCTTGGGCAGCATCTTCAATATCCACCTCTGAATGATGAACACTGCCAAAACCATGGGTAAGGCCTTGCTTCTCATTATCTTGCTTCTCAAGACCTAGTTCCCTCCAAATATTTGCTTCCCACATGCGCCACAAAAGCAGTCGCTGCAATACGTAACTAGTGCAAAGCAGGCTTCCAAAAACTGAGAGCAACGTCAAACAAGGTGGGGGCCCCGACCGCCCTCTTTTCCTTGCCCCCCTCCCAATTGGGTGCGGAAAGGCATGCTTTTCTTCAGGTTTTCTGTGCTTTAGTCAAAACGATGGAACAAACAGGAGAGACATGGTGCGATCAACCGCAAAAGAAAAGAAATACGAGAAACACAAAGACCACTAGGCCGGGACCTGGGGGCTCCTGGCGGGAGCGCAACGGGTGCGCTGTTGGGGGGGCCCTTGACAGCTCCGACTGTTTGGGAAGGGGGCCCGCGTCAAGCAGGGTGCCACATTGAAAGCCACCATTTGAGAATGCCCGCTATTGTTGGACAACTCTCAACTTGAGCCGCTTCAGCCTTTCCCCGCCTCAGTGCGAGTCCTCACAACCAGCACGCGCAAGCTCCCTGGGCTGGTCCACACATAGCCGGGCTCCTGGGCAACCAGCTGGCCCAGAAATGGAAGGATGGCACTGATGCACAGCTTGCATTGAACTAGATGATTTCAGTCTCCAAACGCGGCAAACCCAGAAACAAAAGTATCTATTTGGTGCCGCTTTCAAGCAACTCAAGGAAAAACTACCCTCAACAAACATGCACATACAGTATATGTGTGTCCCATCCTCACCTAAGGCTTGCTTGTTCTCAGTAGAGAGTATTGGAATCACCTGCCACACATTCCTTACAAGAATCCGTGTATGATTGGAAGGGATTGCATCCCCACATGAGTCATGGTAAAAACCTGTCATTTAAATGGCCGACCCAAAATCATGTAAAGAACTAGAAAGGCGGCTAAACCCTCGTTGGGATTATCCCTTGCTCACCCTCATCTGCTTGGGCTTTGATTGTGGCTCACATTGCCAAATAGCTAAGCACAAGCACAAGGAACTAGGCAGAAGTCTTCCGTCCTTCAGCCTCCAGTCCACCTGCAGCAGGGTCGTCTTGTTTGGCGCCTGGCGGGAAGTCCCGAAGATGTCAACAAGGCCCCAGTCTACCGGAAACGGCAACCGGGGGAAATGAACGAAAGATTCCTCTCACTGAGAGGATCACAAGGAAAGACACCCTATCATCCCTAACTCACAGATTCCTTGAATTGGAGGGGGCTCTCTCTGTTTCCTTCAGAGGGAATGAAACTGCAAAGCCTGCATGGCACGAGCTTCCTGTTTATCGCGTGTCTTTCGTCACTGGGCAGCAAAGGGCCCTGTCGCGGAACCCTGAGTTCTTCAACAATGGAGGGAATCCCTAATCCCAATCCGCAATCCGTCGCAGGACACCCACTAACTACAACAAGGGAAATCATAAACAGCTGTCCAATGGGGTAGGATTGATCTTGACCAACCCAATACAACCCAGCAAAAACAGGCCCGACAATGCAACACATTCAGAAACCGTTGTGTCCCAAGCCGAGATCACCAGATTCAAGCGCCAACCCCTGAATAGTTGCACCTGTAGATTCGACGAAGCCCAACCACACTATAGGCCACTCAGCGGCATAGGGTCCAAAGCCATATATGGTTTCAATTCATTAGAGGTTGTGGGATACTTTGAAACCACGTTCAAGGATCATAGGAGACATCGCGTAAAATGGGCCCTTGTATTAGACAATTGGGTGCTAAATGCTGAGTCTGGCATTCGTGCATACCCTCTTGGTTGCCTTCTTTGCTCTTTGGCACCTAGAGCTAAGCACATTGTTGACTGGCCTCCAGGTTCTCATCCAGTGGCACTTGCACCACAGCGCTTGGAAGTCGTGTCCAACTTGTCGTGCCCAAGCTGCCCCGGTGCAGCCGGGTCTGGAGTTCGAACCTGGAAAAGCCATGCCCCATGAGGCTTGAAGGTATGGACGGCTTTTTGTCCGGTGTTGCTGTTTCAGTTGTTTGTTAATGTGCGTTATTTTATTGTTTAATTAAACACGTGCATGAGAGTTAGTGTGCATGCATTTGCTTGTTGCCGCCGGAATGTGCGGCTGGCAGGGCAACACCAGTTCTTCTTGGACAACTTATGAAACCAGGGTTCGTTTCGCTGCATAGGCTGATGACAGAAAGCTTCAGAACAGGAGTTTGATTGACCGTGGCAGAAACACACATCTAGAGCGACAAGACATTAGTTGCAAACCCAATGGATTGGGCCGGACAGGAGTGCGCCTTGCAATGGTGACTGAAAATGAGCCAACTACACGCAACATGCCCTTCCAGGTGTGTCCTAATGTGCCACCTGACAAATCGGTGACCCTCGTTGCGACTCCCACTTTCGAAGCACCCCCGAAACAAAGAGCCTCCCCCTTTTCAAGAAAAACCAAAAGAACACCTGATATTTCTTTGGGGCCCCCCAATTTGAGAAGTCTCAGGCACAACGAATCCAGGCTCCTAGGAGCGAGCTGAACCACACCAGCGCCCGGTGAACATACGAAACACCAGGCTCCGCTTTCAGTCATTGAAGTGATTATGCCTGCTATGGGCCCTTGTCGTTGATTGTGTTTCGTAGACGATTTTGGCTTCCTTGCCAACCGACCTGCACAAATGCATAAAGCTTCACGCCTGCACACCCACCTACTATGTTTGGGCAGGCAGCGTGCTCAGGTCACTCACTCCAGGGACTTCGAGCACAAAGGCCAGGGTGCTCAAGTCACGAGGCACCTCAAATGCAATTCATTCGCAACGCCAGAAATCAGGCTCTGGCTGAACTTTCATTTTTGTCGAGGGCACTCTTTTCACCCTGGAGTAACGGAAACCAAAACGAAAAGCACCACTTTTTGCGGTCCCCTTGGGCCAGACCTGTCCTTTGGAACGTTGCATCACAAGTGATCATGCTCTTCGCTCGGCAGCATAACCCCTTTTGGCATTCGGTTCTCAGAAGATGAGTGACTCAACAGACCCCAAAGAATTGAAATTGTTCTGACTCACGCATGTCTGGAGTCTGCAAGCTTGGATTATTTTCAAGTTGCTGGGGAGAGAGTCTTCACCAGGCAGGAAAGTACCCAACTGGTACTAAAGTACACCAACCACGCCAACTAATTTCCGGGAATGGGGATGGAATTGCCATCCAACTACTCGCATGCGGAATTTGTATGAAGAGGAACCACTATGCGAGTGAGTGAACACATAGCTACTTCAAACAAGTCGGCATACATATAACATATATATATATATTGCCGGCTGATTTGTGCATGACGGGCCTGTGTTCTTGTCGCTTTTGTACGAGCTTGCTGTCATTTGTGCTTTCAGCCGTCGATTTTCCACCGTACAACATATACTGTTGGCCCTCAATTCTTGCTGGTAAAACATGACAAGTGCCAACCTACAACCCCAGAAGATCATCCTCTAAAGCCCCAGACACCTACACCCCAACCCCTTACCTGCAAACCCTAAAGCCCTCAACCTATGCAACGTTTCTAGCGGCCGAGGCAAGACATGAGGGTGACGACCGTGTATGCGCACCCTCCATTTAGTATCATATTTGTGCCCCTGCAACTAGATTAGTATGCCCAAAGCAAAACGATATGGCTGTTCTCTGGAAGCCCCTTCTAAACCCAAAACAATACCCTCGAAAATGCCCACCCATATCTCGAGTATGAACTTTTCGAATTGAGATTCCTCCGGCAACTGATGCCTCTTGACCAGACCCCCGGTTTCTCCCTGCTGCTCTGTGGTCGTCTAGGGCAAAGCAACTTGCACAAAGCCGCCTTCAAGCAAGCTGCCGTCTTACCTTTGGGCCTTGCATAAAACTAGATGACCCTGGACCACCATCAAGGTTTGCCAGTGGCCAGCCTCTTGAAGCTCTGCCCTTGAGGTACGCAATCAGTCCACAAATATCCGTGGTAGGTGAAGGGAAAGGATTTATTTCTGTTTGATAACCCTTGGAAACAGTCAGCGTATTTTTGCTTGTTCCTTGTGTGTTCCCTTCAATCATCACCGCGCCAGAGAGAAACTTGATCAACATTGGCCCAACAAGTGCTGTCGAAAAGCCACCCAAAGGCAAGTACGACCCTTTCAACCATTTGGGTGTGTCTTTTGTCTTGAACCTTCGATTCAAGGGGGCTATTTATTCGGCCTACAATAAGCCTGGGAGCCCGGCCGTCTTAAGCGGGCTACTCGGCGATAGCCCCCCACATGGCCCCCTCCACAAACAGACCTCCCGCGAGGCGCGAGGAAGGCAGACTCGGAGGAGGAGAAGCCCTGCAGCGGGGAGTCCTCCCAGCGGAGAATGAGCTGCCTGCGAGCCTCGGGCTGGGTATGCGTCTCAGAATTAAACAGGGTACCCAAAAACGGTGGGTTTCACATTTGTCAAAACTCCGAGTCGGATGGCCTTGGTCATGGTTCCCTCAAGCGGGATCCATGCCTGATCGATGTCGAAACCACGAAGCCCACCCCACGTGAAGAGGTCTTTCGACCGGCACACAGAAAGGGTTCAAGCTGGGGAGCCCTTCTCACAGTCTGGTGGCCCTGGAAGCAGGGCACCATTCCTGTCGGGGATGACAAGGTTTAGTCACGAAAGAACGAAGAAGACATAATATCACCGAACCTCTAGGTGTTGAACGCTGTCCGAGGCTCCGCCCCATCGATGGCGAAGCTGCAGCTGCTGCGGCTGCTCGTGTCAAATCCCAACTTCTCAGCCCAGAAGCTGATGGTGACCTGTCGGAAGGAGTCGCCCAGGGCCAGGCTGGGGTGGTGACCCTCGTTACGAATCAAGGACGCTGACAAGGTGAGTTCAGAAGGGGAAGTGCCCTGCGGCTAAGTGGATTACAACCCACTTTCCGTAGAAAAATCTCGATCCGCCTACAAATTGTCCCAAAATACGGTAAACCCCGACATGAGTTTCACGTCCAACAAGGGTGCAAGCTCGACAAAAACATCGCCCACATGTTATACGGAAGAACCGCGAAGTCCGTCGCATGTTTTTGCAAGCAACCAATGTAATCCACAACGTTCTGGTCCTGTTCATGGCTGTAAAACCTTGTACAACCTTACAAGTTGCAAGGACCTTGAGGTCAACCTCCATACGTGTGTGTACGTGCATATGGGTTTGTATGGGCAGAAAAGATTGACTTCGGGGTATGATTCACGGGAATGCTTCGGGGGTAGGATTCGCTGTAGCCGCAGCAATAGCACTAGCAGTAGCCGTAGCCGTAGCAGCAGTAGTAATAGTAGTAGCAACTACTCAGTAGTAGTGGCATTACTAATTGTGGTGGAGTCGTAGAACAGTCGTAGTAATAGCAGGAGTGGTAGTAGTTGTGGTGAAAAGGAGTGGTAGTGGTGGTAGTAGCAGTGGCAGTGGCAGTGGCAGTGGCAGTGGTAGTGGTAGTGGTAGTGGTAGTGGTAGTGGTAGTGGTAGTGGTAGTGGTAGTGGTAGTGGTATATGGTAGTGGTAGTGGTAGTGGTAGTGGTAGTGGTAGTGGTAGTGGTAGTGGTAGTGGTTGTGGTTGTAGTAGTAGTAGTAGTAGTAGTAGTAGTAGTAGTAGTAGTAGTAGTAGTAGTGGTAGCAGTAGTAGCAGTAGTAGTAGTAAGAAGAAGAGCAGTAGCAGCAGCAGCAGCAGTAGTAGTAGTAGCAACAGCAGCAGTAGTAGAAGCAGCAGCAGCAGCGGCGGTAGTGGTGCAGAAGTTTTGTAATTGGCACTAGCCTTGGCAAGGGGGGCTCGTTCTGTGGGTATGATTCGGGTATGTGGTAGTAGTGGTGATCGTGGTGGTGGTGGTGGTGGTAGTAGTAGTGCCAGTAGTAGTAGTAGTAGTAGTAGTAGTAGTAGTAGTAGTAGTAGTAGTAGTAGTAGTAGTAGTAGTAGTAGTAGTACTAGTAGTAGTAGTAGTGGTAGTGATAGTGGTAGTGATGGCAGTAGTCGTAGTAGTCGTATTAGTCGTAGTAATGGTGGTGGTAGGTGGTGATAGTCGTAGTAGCAGCTTAGTAAAAGTCGTAGTTGTAGTCGTAGCGCTAATAGTAATAGAGTAGTAGTAATAGTAGTAGAGTAGTAGCAGCAGTAGTAGTCGTGGTGGTGGCGGTGGTGGTTCTGGAGACAGCAAACAACACAAGCTGCAGAAGAAAAGTAGCATCTTGCAGCATACGTTTTAAAGGGGTATGATTCGGGGGTATGATTCGGGGTATGATTCGCCAAGGCGCTACCTTCTGCCTTTTGAAGCAAGTCAACACAATACAAAAAGGCAAACCCGTATATGTATATACATACGTGTGTATACGCATTGAGTTGTCACACTGCTTCCAAGGTGCCGTGCCAGGGGTCGCCAGCAGCAAAGGGGTAGAGTAGGTCAATTTGCTGCCAGACCTGGTAGCCAGCCACAACATTCAGAACAACAAAACGACATTTCTTTCTGGAACTTCGCCTCTTCTAGATTAACCATTTCGGTACAGAGTCATCCCTCTGCCCATCGCTGAACATGTGCGCTGAGTTGTTGGAAGGAACAGGATGCAAGCATGAACTCGTTCTTCATTGGCAGGCATACATTAACCAGCCACCTGCCACTTGGGAGTCACGACCTAGTTCACGGCTGGCTCCAGCATACACCGCGCAATGCGAAACCGGCGAGGCTGAGTCGGATTCGTTTTGGAACCAAGCAAAGCCGCCTGGAACCTCAAGCAGGATTCCCCTTCACTTTTGCAATTACTCCATCCCAAAAAGGAAAATACGGGAACCCCTGGCAAAACCAGTGAGCTCAAAGAGGCAACATTGATGGCTGGAAAGCGGGCTGCTTGGGCTTACCGGGCGAAGCTGCCACGTCAGAGTCCAGTACTCAAAAATGGGTACCTTTCCTCTGACGAGAGAGCTGGATAAACCAGTTCGCCTCGCAACGATCTCTGCCAACGTCTTCCAAGTTCCATGAACCTTGTAGAACAGGTAAAGCTAAAGCCTGGTCCAGAAGAGGCATAGAAACTGTACACACGTGAAACACACCTTTCAGAAAAAGTGCAAAGTGTACCTGAATTGGGTGCTGTGTTAATATGACTAAGTGAACATACCTCATGAAAAGTGTGCCCGTTCAGCAGGTAGAATGGCAGGTTTGGGCAAGTTGATCACTGCCTGCGCTTCCATCGGGGTCTCAGAATAAGGGAGCTTCTTTTTCGATGGAAGGGAACCCAAAAGGAAGCCAATGAATGCCCGTACTTGGACCCGTGTAAAAAATACCTGTCAAGCAGCCTTTCAAAAACAGGGGTTCTTGTAGGAAAGCGTTAAGTAGCTTCTTCAACCCTTGACCAATTCCCGTATACCTCCAGCCACATGCAAGGTCAAGCCTTCAACGTGAAACAAACGTCTGAGGCTCCCACAGGAGTTCGGTGCTTCCTAGTGGAAGGGTTTGCAGCTCGTAGAAGATAGTAGCGTCTGTGTGCGTGTCAACCACGAGCGCAACCTTCGGCGAAAAAGCAAAACGATTGTCTTCTCCCCCCCCAGTACGGGAACAGGAGCCGGAACTTGCCCCCAATGAAAATGAGAGGAATTGTCCGGTGAGCAAATCCAACCGCATCCCTGCGACTGCCACATCCCTGTTTGTTGGTTCTTCTGACCTAGGTCCATTTCAGATTCTCCTCAACACCTGCGGCTTCATCAATGGTGGCACCCACCATGTCGTGGTTGGAGATCACATGATCCTCAAATGGAACTCTCTGTTTGGAAGGTGCGATTGGGAAATTGCAGACCCGCCCAAGCAACGCAAAGAAGGGCCGATGGAAAGCGGTGCTTTGTTATCCACCAGAACAATACCCCAGATTGGTGCTTGTTCTGGATGGCCACATTGACAAAGCGTGAAGTGCCAACTACCATTGTCAATGCCCTAGCTGCGGTTTTGAAACTTAAGGTATCTGTGTGTCGGAAAAGGGAACAATCGGACTGGCTATTATTTTGCAAAGCCGGCTGCGCACCGCCAAAAGCGCCTGGCATGTCCCCCAGTCCCCTTTCTCCAATTTTCATCAAGGGTAGACTAAGTCTAGAACTCTGATCGAAACACTTCTACTGCACCGCATCCATTCTCGCATTCTCAAGTGGGGTTGGGGCGTGCCACTTGAGAGCGGGAACCATGTGGCGTTTGAACAGCCTGATGCTTCCCGCAGGAACAAAAAAAGATACTTATTCAGCGGCACACTCGTTTGGACAAAGCACCTCTTACAATAGCTGGCCTACTTTCGGAGGCAATGACTCAATAGACCATAACTGGAGCATCAGCTTGAAACTCGGAAGGTCAAAAGGTCAGATTGGGGCAGCTGTGGTCTTTACGGCCCTACCCCAACCAACAAGGAAGGAAACAAGGTGCCCAAAACCCACTAGACCCAGGGGAATTGGGTCTTTGCGCCTGCAGTTGCTCCGCATAGGTAGTGTCGGTGGAGAGGTTGCCAAGTACAACCTGCGCAATGAAAGCTTTGAATTTAAGGCTGTTTGCATGGCTCCATACATGTTGGTCAACTCTGGTGCCTGGGCTTCCTTCATCAAACCATTCTTGCAATTTCAATCAGCCCATTAACAGGTGGGTCTGTTTATGCATCCAGCCTTTGATCAACGAGCAACATGGCCACTTGGCATCTGGACCAACACGGCCTAGAAGCCTTGGAGCCCGCTGAGCTTCTCATACCCATGACATCCTGACTTCACATGCAAGCCCTCTCTGTTGGAATGTCGTAAACCAAAAGCATTCTGTGCCACGTTGAAGGCAGCTCGCCGGAGGTGATCACAAACATAGGGAGGTCTCAAAACATTTTAGGGGACCACGATTTTCAGAAACCCGCATGCATGTGCTACGTATATGGCATGGATGACGGTCCCCGCAAACGCGTTGCCTCGCATCTCGGTGGGTTCATGTGGTCGTTGCCGAACAACTCGACGCGAGTCTCCTTGGCTCATGGTGGATTGCCTCAAGAACTTCCCAGTTGGTCCCCTTTTCCAGTTGCCCTGTGACCCGGATGGGAAAAGGGAACCCACTCTGTGGTTGCCAATTCTTTGCTGGGGACTCCACCAAAAAAAAAGGCAAAAGGGCGCCACAAAACAACATAGATACAGTCAGGTTGCGAATGCACGGGGCCACTTTGGAATACTAGTGGCATGTTGTGCCGCCTTTTGAGGGCATGGTCGCCATTCTTAGGAACCTGAATCGATGAAGGCCCCTTCCAAGCTCCTCGCAAAGAAACCCTTCTGCACCCAATGTGGTTTAACATCAAGACTACCACGTGCTTTAGTATGACCGTATGACCACTGGAGCCAAATGCTGTATTTGTATGAATTTGTTGTTCTCTAGTGTGCCCTCCAGTTTTGAGAACTGCTGTGTGTCCTGCATGGGGTTTGAACCCCCGGTGGGCCCGTAATATTTTGCCCAGCATGTTGTCACTTGCTCATTTTTTAAATGCGCTTCACCGTTCACTACGGCTATCTGAAGAAACAACATATCTACTCAGGTGCGCCAAGGTGCGAGGGAAATCTGGTGCATGGGGTGGCAGGCCACCGCGCGGACTGTGACTGATTCCTGCCGCCTCGGTTTTCGGCTCACGGGGACCGCTGCCTTGATCCAGCTACACGTGTGGGAGGACATGTGGCTTCCACTTGCGAGTCAGTGGGTTTGCTAATCGTCTGGAACTGGGATGAAATGACAATAGAGGGCCAAACAACGGATGTTGCCTCATTGGAATCAGCGGCTCAGCCACAGCTTCAATGGTCACGTGGAAAGCTTTTCTTTGGACTGCTAAGGTTTACCTGGGCTTAGACATGGGAACAGCCATTTACATTACCCTCCCCCGTGTGTAACTCTCCGCAATGTCATTGTCAAGCACATGTTGCAATGCAGCTGCTCCTAGCATGTCGACAAGGACCAAAAACATAAGCCAAACACCCAAACCTGCACCTCGGTGCAGGATGGGCCCGAACACTTGGACAATTTGCATACTGCCTACGCTGATACTGTTAAGACAAGCAGGGTAGCAGGTACAAAATGGCGACCCTTTTCGGCGTTGCCTTTGAAGAGCGGTATACATATCACAAAGGGCCAATGTTTGACAACCCCCGTAGTGTCCTGCACTCCCAGCATCACATAACTCCTTGCCACAGGGAGTCCAAGAGCACCTTCCACGACTCGGAAGACACTCTTGACTCTTAACCACTTCCCCAACACCTCCGGTGCACTCGCAAGAACCATGGTGGGTGGATCCTTCATGTTTAGAAGAGCATAGTGCCAATTCATGTATGATAGGGCTCGGCTGAAACACAATCACACGTCATGTGCGTCGCCAATAACTCCAGCTTGCGTAGCCTATGATTGATGTGCCTCTGGATTCAACGCTGAGGGGCATTCGAAGCTCAACACCCAAAGCTGAAGCAGCTGGAAGTGAACAACTCCCCGCATGGCAGTACCGGCCTGATGATGTCGAGGCCTGGGGTGTCTCCTGACTCCTGCGGATCTGGATCTGTCTCTTACAGCAGCCAGCATCTTCCCACTTAGACCAAGGCTGGTTTTAGTAAAACAGCAACCGTAACAGTAACCAATGAACTGCATGTATGCACATGAACACTCTGATTACAGTGAACTTCACACACAAACATTGCAGGTGCGGGCGCAGGACTTGCAAAGCTTTGATGCGTTCAGGCCAGTCTCGCACTTAAACCAGCTTCCCTAGAACTCAGGCACCTCGCTGCCATGGCCGAAGGAAGCCTTTTGGAAGTCTTGCTCTAGTGAGCAACCAACCGAAACGACAAGCGAGCAAGCAGTGAACTGAGAGAACGATCACCCGGCAGCCCAACAGTCGTTGTGTTCGGAGCCCACTCGCCTCGTACTTGGGTGAAGTGTCGCAGTTGGGCGCGTTGGGGAAAGTGCCATACCTTAGAAGCGCAGCAGGGTTGCCAAACTCCATATATCCCTGAACTTTCTGCCCAAGAAACCAGCTACGGGAAGTCATGTTGGACGCGTGCCCAACTTGTTTTGGTAGCACTTAATATCCTGTAGCAATCCCTTCAGTAGAATGGATAAACCTTTCAACAACGATCGTGTCTCTTTAAAACGAAGGGTCCTCATATGGCCAAAAACCATCACCAACGAAGGATTCTCTTCAAGATGAAGGATTCAGAGATACTCCAGTGTGGCACAATAATCTTCGCAGCAGCGTACATGGATCTATGGATAGCCTAGCGGCCTAGCACACAACTACACCGAGTACTGTCATCCCCAGCAACCCTGAGCAGAATAAGCGTTTTTGTAGGCTCAGAATATGTGTTGGGGTGTGGCCATGTGGTTCGCTGTCATAGAGCCAGACAGGTTGGCATCATATTTGGCGGGTGATCGTATCAAGGGTTCACGTATTTGCACCTCGCCTTCACCGGCGTAGGCCTTGCCTTTCAAAGCACAACAGCTCCAGAATGCTGACTGGGCTTTGCAAGGGGGAGCTGCTATGCATCATAGAAACTAGCTGCTCCAAGCAAACCTTTTGGGTGGTAGCTCATGTTGGCAAAAGCACCAGCAATTTATAGTGTCAGCTGATACAGTACTTGTTGACAATCACGTTTCCAGCCTTGAGTGGTGGCCATTCAAGCGATGCTTGCACAGAGAGATGCTTGGAATGCGGTGACAAGTGTCATGGGAAGTAGGAAAATATCTCCAACAGCACTTGCGTGTGACAAGGTCGGTCCGGTGACTGACAATGATGCAGTTATCGAGCATGTCTCAAAGAACTACGAGCAACAGTGCCACTGCAAAAAGTAGGCGCGATTACCCAATGTGTATGATTGCGTGCGCAAACTGCCGAAGACAGTTCAAGCCTGTTCAAACGCTCCCAGTGTTTTGTTCGCTGTGGCCTCTCCAGAAAGCTAATCAAGGCTGCTTCAAAGATCCGAAGGACGGGAATGTGGCTCTCTCAAAGAGAAAACAAGCACAACAAGCCAACATTCCTAGGCGGTGGTCGGGGTTCCGGGGCAACATGGAAACCTGTGAAAGGAACAGCGTCAAAACAGCCACTCTGAGTGGTGAGATCACATGCCCCGAGCGTGCCTTCTGTTCAAGGAACAGAGGGTCGGCAGACTTCTCCAACAGAAAAGGCAACTAATTATCTGGCTACCAAGCTGCTCATAGCGTATCGTTAGCAGCCATGGCCCTTCCACCTCCTGTCAAGCATCCGCATTGCGCTGCTTCTAAGCAACGGTGCCAATTGCTTAGGCTCATCGGTTCTGTGAATCTCCTTGCGCAGTGTTCCGCCCATTCCTGCCTCGTCGGCTACTAAAATCCTGGAAGGCCCTTAAACTGTTTGGTTGCCTTTTGGCTTGCCTCCACACACAAACGAACAGGCATTCAATGAGCTCAATCAACGAACCAACTACTCGACATCCAGGTGCTGCTAACCCTCCAACTCACAAGAAGGAATCTGAGACATGTTTCGCCTCCCTATCTTAATGGGAGCAACCTCACAAAATAAAATAGCCATATTTGAAGGGAACAAAAACCGTAGGGCTAAAAGGCCAGGTGAGCCCCAACCGAAATGTTGTGTTCCTGCACCGGACATAGGGGCACTTCGGGCCCTGTCCTTTTCCATCTTGAAATCCGGGTGTCGTCGCCCGGTGAAAAAATCACGGGTATAGAGTTTGGCCCCAGAGCACCTGTCTTCCAAGAATTCCCTTGAAGGGTTGCGACCATCCACAGCGTCAGTCAAGGCTTGCCGTTCTTGTAGTGCCACTTTTGAACTGCCAAAGGGTTGGCCATAGTGCCAGACCTGATCCCACCCGCAGTCCAGGCCGGGCATGAAGGAGAGGCGCACGCGCGTACCTCGGATCTAGGCTGGAATTAGGACCCCAGCAAAAAAGTATCTTTTTTGCCTGGTTAGTGGAAAACAGAGGGAACCCGAAAAAAGCAAAAAAGCAAAAAGGGGAGCGAATTCTGGGGAAGGGATGGAAGCGAATGGGGGACCAACAGATTTGAACAAGTCGGTGCTTCCAAATTGTATGGGCTAAATATGGGTGGGTTTCTTTAAATGTCTTCAAGCAACGGTGGTGTCTGGGAGCATTTTGGGATGTCAGACAGAAAGACCAATATGATTGCTGCTGTTGGGTACTGGCTATGGTTCCTTCTGGCTTTCCTTGAAACGCCATGGCAAAGGGATGTCCCAATTCTTTGCAACCCCCCCCCTCTCCTTGGGAGGGGCCGCCACAAACAAGGGAGTGATGAGTGGCCAGAGTTGCGTTTTGCTTCATCTGCAGCTCTCATTATTAGCCGAGGTACACGTGTCCAAACGAGCCCTTTGAATATCGACTGATGGGATTCTCCAGCATTATCATGCATCTTCAAGCTAAAACAAACGTCATGAATAACATCAGTCATGCCCCCATTTAGCAAGCTCACTACAATTTGCGCAAATCCAGGTTTCACCGGTTTATGTGAAACTGAGCTGTTATCTGAAGCCATCCCTCAATAAAGGTATAGTTGAAGCCCTAATTGCTGCAAGCAGCGATCAGGAAGACCCCCATTATATATATAGGACGCACCCGGAGAGTTGACACAAATGGCAATTATTTTAGGGCGACCCTTCCAAGACAGCACAGAGTCACAACAGGGTTCTGAAAAGGGCCCTATGTTTGTTGACCCGCCACCCAAATCCCGCTCTCAGAGTTCCTTGTATGTTCCCTTTCAACGTCATCCCAAAAAACAAACATCTTAGCATGGCTCTGAAAACAACCAACATCAAGATGGACATATGTAAGGACCTGTAACTCTTTCAACCATTTGGGCTCTGTTTTAAAGGTACGCGTTGTGTACTTGTTTCAGGCAAACTTAAAAGAACCACCTATTTTGTGCGGGGCTTCTCTTAGTTAAAGACACCCAGTGTGATCCTAACTCACCTCTCAGGCAGGAGTCCCGCCGTGTGGAAGCTGCCGTTCGCCAGGTTGATCACCGGCGCCTAGACCGCAATGGAGTCTGTTGATGTGCCCGGTCATTTTTGTTTGGTCAAGTTGCTTGTTGCATGTGTTTGGCACCGGCGCCTCAATGACACAGGGACTGGTGTCGTCCTATACGCGCCTCTACCATGCTTTTCCGGACACATTTGGAGAGTTGAGGATGTATATCTTGGTCGTCAATGCAATCGGCAGTCGAACATGCTAACTGTCGTTTAAAAGTCCTTTTGACCCTTTGAGCATTGCCGGGAAAGCCCCCTGTCGATGGCAGGCTGACACGTGGCTTGGTATTGCGCATCCACCGACTTCGAACCCAAATGTTGTAGCGGAGGGCTAAAAGAAGGAGCCCCAACCTGCGGGCGGCCTTTACCATTCCGTTTGAATGGATTTCTTCCGAACAAGACCGCTGACAACCACCGCGAAAATGGCCCACCCATCTGTCAGTCTGTTGATCTCCCTGAACAATCCCACATTAGGGGTCTATTCAGCCGCCAGATTCAAAGGCTGCGCCATCCAAAGTGGGTGTCGAACCTCTGCGCCCGATCCGGCGCATGCGCCTGCAAGGGCCCGAGCTCTGGCACGCACTTCCCCAGCAAATTGGCGCCGTAGCCCTCCGCGCAGCGGCAGGCGATGGCATCCTGGGGGTTTCCCGAGGCGGTTTCGCCAGGGTTTCAAGGTTTCCCGTTGTCAACAAGCCCCAAATAGGGGCCCGGCCAACACGCCCATGGGTTTGTCTCCAAGACTTGTTTAGTGGCTGGCAATGGTTGCGCATATCCAAGATATCAAGTTTCCCCGCAAAAGGGAAATGGAGGCAGCAGGTAAATTCCAGGGCAATACCCCTCTTGGATATAATTCCAGATTTGAGAGAAAATGGGGAACCCGTTTCCGGATGGGTTGAAGAGAAGCAGGCAACGCACGCCAACTATTCTGATGGGTCCCTGAATTTGAAACACACCAGTGTCAAGCTTCAAACATAATGTCTGTGTGTCTGTGTACATGGTTGCGTGTGTGTGCGTGTGTCTGCGTGCGTCTGTGCTTTGTCTATGCTATTCTTGTACATTTGATGATCCTTCCTCGCGCTAATTCTGAACTCGAATGTGTCATTCAGACTCTCAAAATATGGCTGCTGTTTTGCTTGAGCAAGTGTCAGCATTTCCCGGTTTCTACTGGAGCAAAGCTGCTGACATTGCTGTTGCAAGAGAATCCCTTTTGCAAGGGAACCAGCACAATACCAAGAGGGGTCGCCAGCTTTGACACATTGGGGTTCATAGCTGATCTCCAGTCTTGAGAGTGACAAACAAATCAAAATATCAAGCGAGAAAGCAAGGAAGCAATCAACAAAGCACACAGGACCACATGCAAAAAAAAAAACATGCATGTTGTTGCATAGTGAATTTGTGCTTTTGGGCCCTTGGGGGTGGCCTTGCTGATGCAGCACTCGCCTGGGCCGGGCCCCCACCGTCCCGACGGCCTCGCCTTTCGCGGCAGCACAGATCTGGGAGCCGCCCCTGGGCACTGGGCGCAGCGCAGCGTGGGGTCGTCGTAGCCCAAGGCGGCGCGATGGTGCAGAAGAGTGGGCCGGTCCGCCTCTCGGTGGTGGATGCCCGTAAAACCTGAAAGTTGGAAACGAGTTGGTGGACGCCCTAAAAAGGCAAGCTGCAAAGCCTATCATTTACAAATGTGTACTTCAAGTTGCAACAAGTGTTGTGGTTGGATGTGGCTGGTCCACTTGCAACACTCTGGGCCAATCCACCAACGTGGTGTTACCCTTTGCGGATGGTGCATTCCCGTTGCCCATTGCACTGTGGTCAGGCCATGGTTGCATGGCAAAGGGTACTCAAGTAGAGGAATCCATGTGACCAATCGACTGGCGTTGCTTAGTCTGTTCCCCGTCGCCAGATTATTTGATCTGGTCATGAGTGAAACGCTCAAATTCGATGCAGCTTTGCGTCTAGCCATCAAGAACGCATCAGTGATCGTGCTGCAGCATACTGTACTCCGACTCAAGCCCTGCTGCCTTCACAGCCTGCCGGATGAACATTTCTGACATCAGAACCTGCAAAGATTCATGGGTCAGGGTCAGAGTCCCGATGATCACGGCAAGTTGAATGTCGACTGTATAGTGGCCTTTATCCAGCAGCAAGAGGACTGCTAGGACTCCTGCAGCAATCCACATGAAGATCGTCCGATACTCAGCAACCCCACAAAAACTTGATCGAAGGAAGCTGCAGCCAAAGTGTCTGGCCAACACTGTACAGGAAGCATAGACTCCGATCATGGTGTGTATCGTATGTCCTGACCAAATCATCGCTACACAACTCCCTGTAAAATTGAAGCCTGCAGTATACTCGCTGGCTTCCTCAATGCCAAGGTAGTCTTTGCAGCGCTCATATCCGTAGGAGGAAGGAATCACGGTGCTGGCTTCGCAAATGGCATTGAGGAAAATCAGCAGCGTCTGATTGTGAATGGCAATTGCCCATGCCTCAAGGTCTTTGGTTATGACGCACAGGAAAACAGCCGTAACAAGCGCGACCAGTGGCACAGTATCAGCGAGCTGTGAGAGCCAACCGCCCTGCGCGTTGCCCGGCAGGGTGTCCATGGTGTTCTGAACGACCGAGTTGTTCTGCTTGTGCAGATCAAGAAAAATGTCCGGGAGATGATCTTTGCATTGAGTCGCGGTCTCCGCCCACTCAAGATATGTGCGGTTTGGAAAGAATGCCGCCCACTGGTAGAAGAGGTTTACCGCAGCGCAAATCAGCACTGGGCAACACCAAATAAGCACAAGGCAACAGGTCCATGGAGACTTGCGCAACTTTTTCATGATCTCATCGTGAGGAGAATCTCTCCTCGCCGCAAAAGCTTCCATCAGGACGTGTCTGTGGCTGAGGCCAACTAGCGGTTCAACATGATGGTTCAAAATGGTCCAACTTGAGCCCAAATTGGTTGCTAAGTTTTGCTGTCCTGAACAGCACAACGACACTGGTCCGTAGAGGAAATCCAGTAGGGGGGGCATTTCGGCAATACATTAATTTGCAAAGAGTAGGTGAGTTTACTTCTCACGGAAAGCAGTGGGAGCTTTATTCAAGGCAAGCATTGATTGATACCCTTCACCCCATGTTGGTCAAGTAATTCATCAAGGGTTCGGAAGCCTCCGAAGAAGGATATCCCCGCAAACAAGGATTTTAAGTCAAGGGTCAGCGTTCATGGAACTTTCACGGCTTGAGTACTTGGCCCAACCCTGGGGTAAGCCAACAATATCTTTAGTCTATCCTACAAAATCTACAAACATATAGGTATCATGGAGGAGACCTCAGTCAAGTTGGTCCAAGCAAACCCAGCTTGAAATCACAACCTCTTCCCTTCAGGTGTTGCTTTTGGTTGGATGCCATCAAAAATCAGGCCTCAGAACATCACCAATCAACAACACATCCCTTGGACATTTCCTTCATGGGGAAGTGATTCGCCCTACTACTATCTTTAAGCAAACCTGCGTTGTGAAGCGAAGGTAGCACGGGTGAGTCTCGGAACATTGCAAGTCAGCCAGCTACACAAAGTACAACATAGACTCAGGGCTTCCACAAGGCTTGAAACCAAACAAACCTCGGCCTTGTCAGCTTCGGCGTATGTTGGTCTCTCGGGCTCTCAACTTTCAGTGGCACGCATGGCATCGTTGACTCCCCAATTTAATGAAACGCATGCCTTTCCTTCCCCGAGTTGCACTGATGCGAACAAACGTATCGCACAAGACAACTCACCTTCTGACAATAATGCCGGTGTCCCTTTGCTTTGTTGTCAAAATCCAAAAGGGTTTGTGTACTCTTGGTTTCCTTTGAAACCCACCTACATCAATAAAGGTTGAACTGATTTTCTGACAGAATCCCCTTCAGATTCACAGGAAGCCGCACCAGGGCGTCCCTCAACAAAACAATCTAAATCTAAATATGTTGTTCTTTTCTGCTTGCCCGTGAATCTGCAAGCAGTAACCTCCACCATATTTTTTATTTCGCCGTGCAGCCGACGGCAAATGCGAGCGACGCCGGCGGGCCTGCAACGGTGAACTCCAAAGCCTCAAGCGGCGTGCCAAGGTTGGAATGAGATGGGCACCTCTTCCCACGTGGCATCCAACATTCCTACAGGAACCCCATGCCAAGCGCCATGGAGGCAGCGCTGGTACAAATCTGTGTTGAAGGAGAACTAGCCTGGACCCCTGTAGGTGGCATGGTATTGGACTTGAACACCATGCTCCTGCACCTGGTTTCTATCATTTTGGTACCCGGCGCCAAGGGGCTCAGGCACTAGCAAGCGCTGGCTCTCCGGCGCCGGCGTCTCCACCTGCGACCAGTGGCGCAGCCAATGAGAGAATAAGAGGCGGAGGGGCTGGGAATCCGGTGGCTAAAATTTCCCAAAGGAGTTCTGAGGAAATTAAACGAAGGGCACCCCTTTGAATGCTTAAGCGTTGGGTGGTGGTGGTGGTGGTGGTGGTGGTGGTGGTGGTGGTGGTGGTGGTGGTGGTGGTGGTGGTGGTGGTGGGAAAGGCAGGGATGATTTCCTTAAGCAGCAATGCTAAGCAGAAATGTGCGACAAGCGTGTTCTAGCCTTGCTCAAGGCATGAAGTCACTCAAGGATACACAGTCAACTCAAGGCATGATGCAAGCGCAAGAGCGCAATGGCAAGCCAGAGTCGTACGTGCAAGCGCTACCGGCTACACCGCATCATCTCCCCTGTTTCCAAGTGGAAGCGCACGCTTCGCGCTTCAGACCCGTTCAAGCAAGTTCAGAGCCGTTGTTGATGCACGGTTCCGCTTCTGTTTTCACTCGCAGGCGCACGTAGCACAATCGCGCTTGACACTTCAGACACGATTAAATTTGGCGCTGGGGATCGCGGGCCTCACCACCTCTGCGGCAAGTGTCGCGGCCTATCTCGCAAGCCCCACAGCCTCTCCTGCGGCAAGGAGAAGCGCCAGGTACACGAGAGCCTCTGCTGCCAGGCCTTGCCTGTTTGCACTCGCACGCAAGCGACCAGCGCAATCATGCTTCAAGCAAGAGCACCCTGGCGCGAGGGAGCACGCGGCACGAGCACCCACTGCGCATCGTCAGGAATTCAGACACTCTGCTGTTAAGCTGTGCGGCTCGGTAGACCGGGATGGATGCATGCGATAGCATGCAAGCTGTGTGCGAGATGTGACATGTCTTGCGTTCAGAGGGTCTGCTTGTGCTGCCTCACACGAGCTCAGAACAACCAGTACACAAAAACAAAGCCGACAGGCTCAAATGCCAGTCGTGATCTTCCCGACTGCTACGACACCTCAGTAAGACACGATCACCAGGCAATTGGTCAGCGCCACCCGCCCCACGAAGCCAACGTACATGGGTGCAGGGAAACTCATTGCTGCAGGTCGCGAGACCTTTCAAAAACAAGCACGGCATGCACGCAAGCGTTCACTTCGTTACAATCTGCTTGATAGGGATGGAGCCCCCAGCGCTGATTCCAAGGCTGGTTCTTATCAGGAATGTAAGCCGTTCTGCAAGCCGTCCCTTTTCTTCGAACTGAGATCCAAGCCTCTCCAGTGTTTCAGCTTGGTTGCCCTTCCTGGTCGCTAGTAGAACTTCCTCTCGCGCCAGGAAGCCAACCCCGGCCCTAGCCAGTGATCTGCGATGGCCAGTCATCTCCACAAGTGTTCAAGGGAAAAGGGAACACAAAGGCGCCGCTTTGAGTTTTCTCCTTTGGACAAAGCAGGCAGGGGAATAATTCCTAAGATAATGATTCTCGCAGCCCCTCCAAGCAATTTCGAAGATCGCATGCCAAAACCTGGTGCGAGGTTGTCAGAATCTGGCACTGGCATTGACATTGAGCATTGAACTACGATCCGTCCCCACATAGTGGACCCCATCCTTGAAAGGTTGTAACAGACCAACTGGCCTGTTCAACCGGCTGCTCAGAAAAACAGGACTTCTTTACAAACAGCTGGTTCACAAAACCAAGCGCAGCATTCTAAACATCATATACGACTTTCCTTTCATTTTGCAATTCGCAAACCTTTCAAAGGCTTGCTCCAAAGACCCTGGTACAAGGCACTCCCAAAAAAAGTGGTTTGAAGGCTCAGAGTGACCATCCAACCCCGAACCACCCTTTCACCACCCGCCAACGACCCCTTCACCAACAGCCCGCCCCATCCACGACCCTTGCACTCGCAGTCGCCTCCAATGACACTGAGCTCGCAGTGCCCCCGCCCCACACAGACACCAGCGCCACCTGCGCTGAGAGACAAGGCACGACCACCCGAATCAAGCCGCCTTTTTAATTATACCATTCGAAAAACAAACACAAATACATGGAAGGAAATGCACAGGCCCCCTTCTGTCAACAAAACAGGAAAACAACCTAGGGTCTGTGCACTTCCTGCTGGTGTGTGAAAGGGCACATACCCCGTTTACATCGATGCCGAATGGCTTGCTGTCGTTCATACCCATCTCCTCGAATACCTTTGTAGCTTTGCCGCCTATCTTCAGTGGTCAGTAGACGTATGTGCAATGGTCTTCAACACAACAAAAACACCACTAGGTCATTCACAAATTGTCCAGGAGGAACAACCCAGCTTCAAGCGAGCGACTAGGCTTGGTCTTTTACCAGGCTCAACGTTGCGAATTCAGTGACTAGGGCGTGGCTGAGAGTCGGCAAACGAGGTCCATAATTACGCCCGGCAAGATGACATCACGTGGCTTCTCGACCCGTTTGACCAGTTCGGGCATGAGGGAAACAGGGAACCACTCTTGCACCGAAAAGAACCTTTTGTGGTCCTGAAATGGAGGCACTTGAACTTAAGTGGGTCGAAAATCGTCCGATCGGGTGGCAAGGCGCCTGGGAGGGCCCCGGTAAAGCGATGCGCCGGGGCAAAGTCTCAGTACCCAGCTGGCCCAAGATTTGGTGCTCCGCGTCATAGACAGTGGCGTTCCTCGCACGCGACCCGTTGAAATCCTCAAGGATGGTCCAATTGCCACCCTTCGGGGAGAATGGAAATCGATCTTCAAAATGAGGAGTTTGCCTTAAGGAAGGGCAGGCAGCATCAAGTGGACTCGAGATTTCAGCAAATCCAATATCTTCCACTTACAACCCTAAAAATGAACATGGGTTACTCCGACAGAGCTTAGCGTCCTTCACATTCCCACTCCTCATCGATCCGACGTTTCACAAACTTGAAAGGGGATCCCAATCGTGTCCCTAGTTATGTCAATGCCTAATGTGCATGTGTATATATGTATATATGTGTGTACACATACACACGTACATAATGAGCCATCTTCAAAATTAAAAGGTGCAAACATGGACAATATCTGGAGACTTCGTTTTAAAAAGTCGCCTTCGTTTTACAGGGGTGTTCACCTTGCCGCAGGCTTCGTTTCTAAGCGTGGCCTTTGTTTTACAGGGCTTTAGCCCTATTCCACCCAAGTACATGTCTTTAATGCGGAGTATTTTGGGGATGCCTCATATATATATATATACATGTATATATCTACACGAGATACTGTCGCCTCTAAATCTCCGCGAATCAGCTTGAACCCCCCTTTCCCGGTGTTCTCAAAAAATTAAACGGGGTACCCAGGATATTCCCAGGATAAATCTAAACCCAAGAACCCATAAGCCCTTTGTTGATTAGGGGAGTGTCCCATTTTAGAAGGGATCCTTCCACTCTGCGGGGAGCACCCCAATGCTCCGCCAGGTTGAACTCTCCAGGTTCGACACCGGGGGATTACAATTGAGGTACCGGGACACCCATAATGGGGTCAATGTTTGATGGTTCAAAGGGCTTTAAAAAGGGCTTTAAAATGGGTCATTCCCCGGAAACTTATCCACAAGGCATGTCTTGGTCCAACCTTCAGTGTCCAAGACAATGGAAGGCGACCCTCCCCCCTCCCCGCCAAACTTTCTAGAAGGCTCTTCACCTGCCCCGAGCCAGTCAGGTGCACTGCGCTAGCCAGCCACGTCCTCGGTTTCAGCACGCAACACGCCCCCCGTCCTTGAGGGAAGGGTGGGGTTGAGGTCCGACAAGGGAAATGTTTCTGGTCACAAAGGGAAACGGGACTATGCATTGAATTTCATTTCTAGGTCTTCATGAAAGAACAACTACGACCCAACGTGGGATATCACGGGAGTTCCATTCTTCACACAAGGCAAGATGATGGAACATGGAACTCTAAATCTAATTAATAGGGTCACGCCTTTACCTCAGTTGCAACGTGTCGGGGGCAGGGATCTCAAAACTTTGGGAAGTATCCACACGGGGCCGGTCGAAACTAGGTAGACTTCTTCGGCCCCCAACAAAGGTGTAAAATGGGTTTCGTCTGAACGAGGAGGTCCCATCAAGGAACGATGTTCTCCCATCCACATCCAAGCGCCTCCGCGAAAAGCTAGTCAGTCGCCATGGCAGACCACTAGCCTATGGTTCTCGCCCAAATATGTTGCTTATCATGGGCCTAAACTAGCCCAAAGCAAAAGTTGTTTAAACTACCCAATGCTGGATCTCACATGGGGTATATGGTAATTATAGCTCCCTCAACATTGCAAGCAAACCGAACACAATCCGAATTCGCTGGAGCTTGGGGTTGGACACCATGGGTCCAGCATCCGCCCGACGGTGATAAGGTTGACAGTAAACAAATTCTGCTACTCAGATTCAGCATTTCATCGTGAGTCCTCGGCCTACATTGCGTGTGGAGATAACAGCATGAGTTTTCAGTGGGGACCCTTTGGCGGACATCATTTAGGTGGGGATTCATGTCCGCCAACCACGCCTATTAAAATTCGCAGCCAATGAGTTGAACCCTATCCAACAAACTCTGCCTTGCCATCGCTGTGGTGACAGCCATTTTCTTCCTGTTGCGTTTCCTCAGGACTTCTTGTTTTGTCCTGCTGGCGGCCACCCCACTGGCCCATGCACTTTGTCGTTGTCTGTTGGTTTTGGTTGTCGCTTGCTGTCATTTCACAGGTTACTCTTTGGGTATGTGTCAACACCGAGGATCGACCCTCCGCAAGGTTTGAATCATGCTTCTTGTCAAAGCCCCCTTGTCGACTCACAGCCGTTTATTGCGGCCGACCCTGTCAAGTTCGCGAAGGACGTCTCTTTCAGAACACTTGGCACGGCCTTCGGCACCCGGAATCCTAGTGGGACTTCAAGCAAGATATCCTTTTGCTAGTTCGGTTGGCCGTTGATGTGGGGAATGCTTCATCGAGGACCCTTTGGTAGCGGACTTCTGCCCACCAATCATTTGCAAGGGGGTCGCGGTTAAAAAAGCAAAACACCTTGCCATACCCTTCCACAAACCAACATGTAGCCTGACAGGGTCCCTGTTAGAGGAACATAGTCTTCCAGGGGTTCCCTTTGCATGTTTGTTCTTGGACTGGCAATTTAAGGGTTCATCCGGTCTCACCACCAAAGCCCGAATTGGTTGCTCGCGCTGGGCCCGCCGGCTGGAAGTAGGCAGGCGGACAGTCGCAGGAGCAATCGGCTTGCCGAAGCAGGTTGCCTGAGGGGTCTTGGTCCAAGAAAGCGAATGCTTGATGATGAATAGGGGGGCGGGAAAAAGCACCCCCCCCCCTTGTGGCTGCCTTTGTTTCTTTGGGACGAGCCGAAGGTTACTCGGGGTATGCAGTGGCCAGTCCAAATTGGGACACGCGCTTTCGGAATGGAAGGCAGTTCAGGAAATCATCCATTTGCAGGGTAGTCCGAATTCGACACATCATGTTCCTTCACTTTGTAGTTGATGTTAGAGGCAACCGCTTCCCAAAACAACAAATGTAACGCACCGCCGGAGGCGCTGACAGGCATCTGACCCACACCAATCCCTCAGAGCCGCTCCGGTGGCGGCCCGGCCTGGGCACACCTCCATGCAAACCCCGGGCATGGCGCCGCACTCCTCGTACCCGGTGCGGCAAACGCTCTGCTCCAGGGTGGTGTTGGGCGGAGTCAACCTGGCCAAAGATGCCTTGCCGGTTCTCACTCTGGAACTGTTTTTGTAGCCCCCATGCAGAATCAACAGCCACAGCCAAAGGGACCGGAATAGGGGAAGTGTCCTTTGATTAGATAAATGATAAACCAAACGGCATGGCTCATGGCAGTCATTCCTTCATGCCCGCCTGAATCCTGCTGATAGCCAGGAAAACATGGCAGGGGTGTTCGAATCGGGACCCCTTCTGTCATGCCACTGCAGGCCCACAATGACGGATTCTTTACTTTAGGTAGAGGGTGCCTGATATCGCAAAAGGGTAACAAGGCCCTCATTTCCACAAGCCCTGTATTCCGCAAACCCTGCAACATAGAAACACATGTTTCCAAAAATAGGAAAACCTCCGAAAATTGACGGTTTCCCTTGATGTATCCCTGCGAGTCACAGCATCCAAAGCAGGAGGTACGTGTTTTGCGCCCACAGAGCACGTCTATATTATACACCTTCATGACAACGGCTCTTTTTATGCAGGGGACATTCAAGATGTCTACCATGAATAGCAGAAGCCCGACTCCCATTGGAATTTCGCAGGAAACTCGCATCGAGCGTGCTTGAATCATGTTGGAATTCTGCTGCTTCGCTGGAAACTTTCTGAGCTGCGCCACTGTTTGACGCCACCCTGTTTGAACTGGCACGATGTGCCCTCATGAAATCTTAAAGTAGCCAGAGGCATGACCAGGTTGAGCCACTGGGATGACTGGCACGATTTGTGAGATGCCCAGCTCGCCTGGCCGGCGCATGGCATGCTGAGCCATCCCGCTGCTCGTAAGGCCTCGGTGCTGGCTTACGTAGGCGTGTGCTTGAACCAATCAGCTGTGAGGGGTCTTCAGGAAGTTGGGCTTTTGCCCAGCGAAGATGCGAACTTCGACTTCTCAGCTCCAGGATGCTTGGATAACCCAGAAGTTGAACCCCAAACTGCAAGAGGCCATTAAGCCATTCACCAATGGCATCAGCGGCTTGCCATGGCTCGCATTAGGTGGGCCTTTGAGCAAATTCAAAAGCCCCACGATCGCAACGATTTCATAACCACCTCGATTCGGCACCCAAGTGCCACCGACAATCATTTCAGCTGATTGCCAAGCATCGAAAACGGGTCCAAGTCTGAACGGACTATGCCTTTGGTCTATTGCTGTGAGATCAAGAGGGCCTTCTGAAATGATGATACTCGCTTAGGGACGATTTCCGCATGCCAGCAGGCTTCGACCTCCGGCAAACACACATTTCCGCTGGCCAGTGACTGCAAACGATGGCCATCAACAAAAGCAAGAGTTTGGGAATATGTTAGCAGCCAAGTTTGGCAATGCGCATATCTGCTTTAGGATCTTGAAGCGGTCTATGGTTGGACTGTGCAGGTCCACTGTTCTTTTCGGGGCTTGGGTTTGAGGCTTTGTGTCTTTCGAAACGCGCTGATCCCAGGACCACCCATGATCCCTCATGATGCCCAACACAGCGTGCACACTTTGAAGTCATACTCGTTTGTATGGTGCTTTGGGTTTTCAACATGGCACAAAGTGGGTGCTGACTCTTTGCTCTGAGGGGCGTGTTGCAGGCTGACAGCCGCCGCAACTCGGTGACCTGCCAGCCCAGAGTCAGCCCGTCCAGCGCCTCCTGATGCACTCGCCTCAGCTCGGCTGTTTGAAGAATCGAGGAACCCAGAATATGTGTGTATATGGGTGCTTAAATTTCAGTACACAATGCATCTTTCCTTGTTCCCAATGTCGGTCTCGCCACTAGCGTGTTTCTTGATGTTCCTAGTGGTTTCCTTTCGGCAATAAAGGACTTGCCTGTGTTCAATGGCTATCCTGTCGAGCCGTAAGGGCTTCCACTTAGCCTCCTCCAAGGCCCTTCGAAACTTTGGTGCATAATTGGGATGAGCCATCTGCCAAGCCAGGATTGCACGTCAACACCCTATGTGTTGAAGATCAAAATGGACACCCTCTTTAGGGCACTGAAAATCCTCCACAGAAACAGCGGGGGCAGTTACAAGACTTAAACCACAAAGTGCAATGCTCCAAAGTCAAGCACATCTGAGCCCAATGCAAAGCCTGCTATTGGCGGCTTAAAGGACATGGGACATGCATCAACTTGTGGACTTGCCTGGGCTCCGCACACTTCATCCAGCTGCGCTGTAAACATGGGAAGGTCATAATAGGGCCGGCCCGAACTGAGCAGCGCTGGAAAACCTGGCGCAGTCACTGGCTAATGGGGCCCACCCGTGGATACACGTCATGAGCAAATCCAGCCAAAAGCTGACTTCCTGAGTGGAGGCCAATTGAATCCGTTTGTTCCTCGCTTTAAATGAAGAAGTGGAAAACGTCCAGAAGATGTACAAGTCTGCATCCGCTCTTTGGCATTGGTTGCATGAGACATGTGAAATGTCACGTTTCTGCGCTTGCATCGAAGGGTGTAGTAGTTGTATGTGATGGGTGACTCAGCACTTTGCTTGGTTTGAGGCTCCGCTAAACCCACCATACTGTCAAGCAAAATCTCGGCCGGTCATGTGCAAAAACAGCTCAAAAAACAGCACACACGCCGCTGCAACACGGATTTGTTGGAAAACCGACTCCGAATAACACTAACAACGCTCCAAACAAACGCCTGCCAAAGTTAGTTGCAGTACTCCCAGCTAGTTTCACAGCACACGTGCAAAGAATGTGCGATGGAAACCGCCACGAGGTGTGATGAGGTGTTGTGGCCCCCTCATTCTACCCCTAAACCCTAAACCCATTCTCAAGCACCCATAAATGCTAGGTTTGATTCAGCCCCCTCTGGTTGCTGACTTTAACCACCCTGGAAACAAACCAATGCAAGGTTTACATCCTCTTTGGGGAAACGCAGGCCCCCTCCTAACCATGCCTTACAGCATCTGCTTCCCATGTCAACACCAAGGTGCGTTGAATGTTCACCGGCCCCACATGGAAGACGCCATAGCTAGGCTCAACGTTGGGCGCTGCCACAATGTCAGTGGCGGAGATACTGCGGTAGCCAGAAGACACAAAGACGCTGTCCTTGGAGTGGGACACTCCAAGCAGATTCTGTGCCAACTTCGATACTAGTGTGACAAACGGGTCCATGCACACGACAAATGGTGCTGGGTTTCATGTTTTAAAAGCATCAATTACTTTTACATGGACCTGCCACGGTAGAAACTGCGCACTCCGTCCTGCATTATGGAAAAACATGGCTATCCAATTCTAAATCGCTTTGTCGGGAGGGTTCTTGATGGTGGGTGGAATGAATCAACAATCTATGTCCTACTTGAGCTCCAGGGAGGAAAGGACTTCTACCGTGAGTTGCAAACGCTTCCCACCCCCGCCAAATTCGACGTTCCAATGAGTTTTGTTGAGTTTATTCACCCAACTGAGGTCATTATCGGTTATGTTATCCGCACTTGAGATGGGAGGAAGAAGAACGCTCTTGGACGTATCCGAGGCACGATTCTGTGGATCCGCAAAGATCGCATCCAAACCACTCTTTTAGAGGACTTCTCAAACGACCCCGCTTTCCTTGCCTAGTTTGGTTACAACCCCTTGGTACAAACGCCCAACGGGGGAACGTGTTGCATCCCAGGCGCGACGTAGAAGAAGACGTTGTGCTGGGTGGCCACGTTGGGCACCACCACCACAGCCAGGTGCCGCCAGGGCTCTCGGCTGTTGTCCCAGCTGAAGGCCCCCGAGGAGATGCTGCTGTCCTCTAAGGTGAGTACCACTTGGGGGGTTGATGGTGCCCGTAGTTGCTTGCTTCTTTGTTGGAGGGGGGGGTCGATTTTAAGGGAAGCCAAATAGGAAAGTAATCATGTTCTTGCTTTTTGTTGCGGGAAGGGTCGAGATGATACTCATTTGTTTGATGTTATGTTGTGGGCATTGTCTGTAGTAGTTTTGTTGCGCTTTATGTGTGGTGTGTTTGTTGTCGAGGAGATTCGAGGAGCTTGGGTTTCGTCTGTTGTTCTCTCCGCCCGGCATCTGTCCAGGCTGGCAACACAAATGCCCAAATGCCCCAAAGTGTTCCCAATGACTCTTGGTTCTACCAAAATGGCGGAACAGGTTTGCGTAGACCTCAGCATAGTCTTTGTAAAACCAGGTAGTAGAACCAAAATCAGACGAAACTGACAGGGCTTTTGCGCGCTGCTCGAATGGGTCGCTGTCAATTTGGGCTCGATCCCTCAATATATTCCATTGTATCGGAAAGGAAACCCAAAGAAATACTTGCTAATAACTATGTTAGGAAACCCCCATACACACCCCATACAACTTCCCACAAATGGTTTGTTTGCGGGCGTTGTCCGCAACCGGGTCCCCAGTTTCAGGAAACAGGCAGGAGAAGGAAAAGGAGGAGAAAAAGGAGGAACAGGAGGAAGAGGAGGAGATAGGCAGGCCCTGTTCATCTGTGCACATGTGCTTACTCTCCCTGTCATTTAATAAAGGGAATTTTGGAAAAGGGCGAGCTTGAACATGCTGGGCCCCACGTTATTCGCAATTTTCTATACATGTCACCCCCAAGTAGCACTTCCCAGGTTGCATCGCGGTCAGGGCATCCCAACAACTTACTACTTCTTTTCGAGACATGCCTAGCCAAAGGCTACTAAAGCAAGGTGATCCAAAAAACAAACAACACAGAACATCCCAGACCCATGCTGGAGTCCAATACATAAATTCCCGACCCGTGCTGGAAAGAGACAAGTGATTGAATGATTGACGTCACGCGGTGGACGGCAAGTTGTGTGAAGCAATGCTAGCTGTTCTCCGAGCTGCCGTATGTGTTTCAAAATGAAAAAACAACACAATGTGTGGATTCCTTTGAGGGCTTCCTTCGAAAAGGATACCCTCAAGCTCACGCGCACACACACACACACACAAATAGTCACACCGCTCAGGTTGTCAGGCTTGCATCTGTCTAAGGCAAACTTGCACATCTGGCCCACAAGGGCGTAAAAGGACGACTTTACTGGGTGGGTGGGTCTTGGGACCCCCTGCAACGGCGCATGCTGGTTGTAATGCGGCCGTCTTTCATCACTCAAGAGGGCAAACTCAGAACTGCTGGTTTGCCAGTCAAGTTGGCAAACAAGCCGCGTCGCTTACCGCTGCTGCCACATGCATTTACCCGTAAAACATGGGTGTTTGCAAGAACGGTGACCCGCAAAGGTGTAAACTTCAAACAACAGGCAAGGTGTGCCGAGTTGTAGGACAGCCCCCAAACGGCAGTCTGGAAGTCACCATAGCCTGTATCGAGTCGTGTTTTCTTGCGGATCCTCCACCAAAAAAAACACGCTACTCGCCCCGTTGCCGGTTCCTCAGCACTGATGTGCGAAGCCAGCGTGATCCGGCTGTGGTAGAAGACAATCCTCGAATAGAATGAGCAGAGCGCCCAACTCCCTTGAAAGGCGGGAAAAAACACACAAAAAAGAAGAAGCGAAAACCCCGTTTCAGTGAAGGTCAGATATGTCATTTTCCTCGCCACCAGCACATCCTACAAATGTATTTGGACCCTGCAGGGCAAGGGATGCCACCGAAGAGCCCTTGTCAAAACAGAGGTCATTCAGGCCCTGTAACCGCTTTCTTGTTGCGCGAAAGCTGTGCGATACCCTTCCTCGCAGGCAGAGTGGATTCACCTGTTTTGACATGCTCAATCCAGAGATGCTTCAACACCATGGATTCACACCCTTCTCGCAAAGAAACAAGCTTGTGTTTGAAGAAGCCCCCTGAAACCCACCCCAAAAGCAGCCACCATTTGAGGCGATTGAGCCCCACAAAAGGTCTCTGGCCGTGCGCTGGCTGAATGACTCCCTGCGGCTCAGCCACTGCGCTTGTCCTGAAGACACCCGGCGCAGCGCCACGTACCTGGAAGGATGGTCCTGTGGAAAGCCAAGAGAAAGCCAATCATCCGCTCTGGTGAACTGTGTGGTTCGTTGATCCCCTGCTAAACAAAGCATGAGGGTCTGGCTGGGAAAGACCAAGTGAACTATTTGTTAAAAGGGGGGGACCCACCAGAAGAAACTCGTTTCTACTGAAACGGCATTCACCAAAAAAGGGTCCCCCCCAGTTCTGGGACCAAGGTACTGGTCGTTCTATTTGTTCATAAGCCAATTGCCTGTGCTGCAACGCTACAACCAGCTGCCAGCAGTGGGGGCACCACGAGGGAAAGCTTCCGCACAGCACCGCTATGCTGCTGGAACTGGATTCGCCTGGCAACCCACCACCGAGTTGTTACCAAGCAGCACACATGATGCTTCCCCGATGTGCCTTCGGGTTTGCTTGAATGACTCCAAAGCTTTCCAAGGGTGCTTGTTGCTTTGACGCAAACAGAGAGTGCAGTGAAGCATCGCAATGTTGGCCCTACTAGGGACCGCACAGTACTTAACGAACGTAAGCTGGTGCGGCCTTTCAGCGGTACAATCTGTGATCTTCAAATGGGCCCGATTTGCATATACCGTTGCATCCTTCGGCACCTCCGCCGGTGCAAGGATAAGAGAACCTCAGAACCTCCATCTATTCTATATGTCGTGCCAGCGGCAGTCTGGAAGACTCATAAACACAAAGCCTCAACTTTCAGTGTGGAACAAACTGCTAGGAAAAAGGAGTTGTGCAGCTGTTTTGTAAGTTACATCAAACAGCAAGTTGTGCCCTTCAAGAGAGCAATCATGTTCCCAACCTGTCAAATATGCTCCCCAACCTCTGGCCGGCCAACCGGCCTACCGGAATGGCATCTAACGTCATGTTCACAAAGAGCTCTACGGTGAAGGGTGGGGTCAACGTCGCCACTGCCAAGCCTTAGCCGTCAACGAGGCTACCCCGTCCCTGCAGACATTGCTTAGGAATCCAGGCTGCTGCAAAGCTAGTCATGATAAACTCAAAGAGCACTACAACAAGTTGGTCTCATGATCCATTCCTGATATTTTGAAGTTGCGTACTGTGCTTCAAGTTGTGTGAAGCAGCACTTCGGCAGCTTTCTGTCCAACAGAGATCATCAGAGTGTCTTCCCATGCCAAACCCTTGCTGCAAAACAAGACATTTCACAGAATCAGTTGTTGAGCACAATTGCATTGGCTTTGGTTATGGGTGGGCTCGTTCTAACCCCGGAAAGCTCAGTATAATATGCCCGGACTAGAAAAGATGGTGTCGTTTTATCCCCTTCTTGGTGCTCAGGAAACACGAATAATCCCTATTTTAAGGGCCTATCTGAATAGAATGGGGTTGTGGGATACTCTGAGACCAAATTACATTGAGTCATGATCATCGGAGCAACCTGCGTGCAAATGCGTGAGCCCCTTACATTCGACAGGCCCTGCGAATAGAAATCACATGACCTCAGTGCCTTCAACGCCGCGCAGCTGAGGTGGAACGGCCTGGCTGCGGGAAAGGCCATGGTGATCTCGCACCCGTCCGCCGCGCCGCCGCCGGGTGAGGTGAAGTGGCCCACCGCGCCAAAGCCTGACGCCTCAAGCAGAAAAATGGGGCTGTGTGCTTTGCGAGTTGATATGCTTTTGCGGGTTGGTTTCATGGAGCACCATTTTGGGGGGTTCAAATCCCTATCTTGACACCTACGCAAGTGGGACAAATTGGGTTCTTGTACCCAGTTGGGGGCTTCTGAAAATAAAGGAAAGCCCTTTTGTGACTACTTGCAAGGGGAAACCAACCATATTTAGGGGTCACCTGATTTGAGACACGCCCATTGGCCCACTGACACTGGTAGCAAAACAATCGGAACCCGGTTTACAGTAGTTGGTTCGTTCCATTTCTAGTGGGGAACCCACCGAACAACAAAGATGTACCTCTGAAAAGCTGGGAATATGATGGGCCCCTTAATAACAGGGGTTCCATGTGTTTGTCCATGTTCATCCATATCTAGCGGCTCAGTAATCCATAAACTAGGGGTTCATACTCGGGGTGCAAAACATAGGCTGTGTATACTGGGAGGACCCCTGCTGACACAAGCTTTGCAGCGATTTCTTACCGGCTTTGCAAGGTGGAGCTAAGTGGTCCCATTAGTGTCGCGCGGGTGTACATGGCAATGGGCAACTGAAATGGAATGGACAATCTAAGTTTAGGTAAAGCTAAACTGGTCAAAAAGGGGCGGCCAAATGCAAAATGGGACCTGCATGAAGGGGCAAACTGCATGAGATCGCTTTGCGCCCAAGTGTGCGCGATGTGTACGTAGCAAAATTGTGAAAGGCCAACCGAGCAAAATGCAAACAAGCAGCTGACATGCCCGCTGGAGCATCGCAAGGCAGCAGGGAGTTGTTGCCTTGGCACGGTCTGCGTGCACTACTTGTAGCCGTTCGGCAACAAACCTCATGGCAAGATGCTGCTATACGGAACTGAATAATATTTGACTTGCTCCCCAAATCACTCTGCCTCTGTCAGCATGTTTAAACCACCCTTGTCGAACCATCCTTGTGGTTTCATCCTCCTGTAGGCTTCGCTCGTGGCAGCTGGCAACTGGATGCTCAATCCACTTTTGCGCAAGATTGACCAGTGCAACTCAGACCCTCGCAGGCTGGAGACCAATACCCAGCGGTAGTGCTTTCACAGACTCGTGCAGCAGGATACTTGTCTGCCTGGCAAAGCCACGCGCGTGGCTATGCAGGACCTACATTCACAACTGGGCAAATTGCTTCAGCTGCTGCTACGTAGCTCAAGCCATGCGTCTAGCAAGAGGCAGCTCGCATGCAGCCTGCCCCATCTCCCTGATGGCCTCAAGGCACACGAAGGGGCAGCTGCTGTTGGTCCACTTCATGTGAGTGAAGACATGCTGGCCCGAGACAGTGTCACAGACCTGACGCATGCGCAGCCCAACTTGCCACTCCTCATCCCCGAACGCTGATACAAGGAAGATACAATCAAAAAGAGCTAGCTACGAAGTGAGGCGAAACAGGTTTTGCAAATGATTGATGCTTGTGCAAGCAGCATGCTCCAGAGAAACTGCGCTTGAGTTTTTCGTGCGCAGCCTGATTTGTGATACAACAAATTCAGAACGCTCTGCCATACTTGAGTTGTTTGATACTGGCAATCACACGCATGCTTCTGTGCGCATTCCAATAGGCACACGCACAAACTCAAACGTAATGCCACATGGCACCAAAACACCCACCTGCAGTGTCTCGCCGTCGCCCCAGCTACCCTGCCGGGCCGTTTCGCAGAAGCCGAACATAGGACAGCTGCCGGGCCTCAAAGGGATGCTGCGCCAATTTGACCTCCACAAGTCCACAAGCCCAGCTTTTTCACCAAGGCCACCCTATGCGCACATGCTAGCAACAAAGCAAGGACATGTCAAATGTGACTTCAGAGGCTTAAGCTAACGTGCAAACGTCTGGTGCTATTTCTGCAGGAAATGGACGCTGTACGATGCACCTGGTTTGCCGCAACGTACTTGTACCACGCCTGTAGCAGCCTAGTGCGCAGCTCAGGGCGCAGTCGGCATCTCCGCAAGCCTGACAACACAAGGTCAGCGCATCAACATTTATCATCGCAAAGTCAAACCACCCTGCTGCTGTAGCCACAATGTTTGTGTGATGTCCTTGCAACATATTCGGGCTGAAACTGCCCAGCCTACTTGCTGCTCCCATCAGGCGAATGCGAACTTAGTTGGGTTTCCACAAGCGATAAAACAATTGGCCTGAATATGCCTGAATTGTTCACATGTAGATCGAACAAATCATTGCAAAACATAAGAACACAAGCGCCACCACCGCCGCTACAAGCATAAACCGCCGCCAAGCGGTATAGCACCGTTTCTACGAGCACACAGCCACAACCACAATCAGCGAGTGAACCACCACCCGCATCACCACTCCAACCAGCCAGCGCTGCCAGCAATAGTCGTAGTCGTAGTAGTAGTAGTAGTAGCAGTAGCAGTAGCAGTAGCAGTAGCAGTAGCAGTAGCAGTAGCAGTAGCAGTAGTAGTAGTAGTAGTGGTGGTGGTAGTAGTGGTAGTGGTGGTGGTGGTCGTCGTAGTAATAGTAGCAGTAGTAGTAGAGGTAGTAGCGTTCAAAATAGGAGACAAATCAGTAGTCGTGCAGTTATGCAGTAGTTACAGAAGAGTTAGTGCTAGTAGTTCGAAACACCCTCAACTTAACTCTTGGAAAGGAAAGCTGCCACGCTTTGAAAGTTTGCCAATTACAAGTATCAGTTGGGGATATCGAGCAAGCCTTTGTCGATTTGTGAAAACAATGGCTGTCTTCGAAAAAGAAGGAAGCAACTCACTAGCACCCATTAACTTGCCAGCCAAAGGTCTGCGTGATTCGACCTGAAAGCTTCCTGCGTACTACTTAGTTGTTCAAAGAACTAGTGACCACAAAAGCTTACATGGGGCAGGCACAAACACAAACACATATCAATATCGGCACACCAACGCACACACCCACACACGCACACACATCAACACACACACACACAAACACAAACACACAAACACATAACCACACAAGCACATAATTACACTGCATGGCGGATGCAAATGGAAGTGGGTTTTATCGCGCTGCGTGGCGCATACGCTCAAGCACGCATGCGCGCTGCATGGCAGATGCACTTGGGCGTGGGTTCTTATCAGCAGGCGTGTGTGCACTAAGTGGCGGATGGACTTGGGACGTGCGTGAGCTGCGTGGCGGATGCGGTTGGGCCTGGGCTCTTATCATCTGCGGGCGTGTGTGCACTGCATGGCGGATGCACTTGGACAGGGGTTCTTATCATCTGCGGGCTTGTGCACATTGCCAGGCGGATGCATGACTTCGGCGTGGGTTCTTGTCATGTGCGGGCGTGCTCGCAGGGGTTCTTGTCATCTGCGGGCTTGTGCACATTACCAGGCGGATGCGTGACTTCGGCGTGGGTTCTTATCATGTGCGGGCGTGCGTGCAGTGCATGGCGGATGCACTTGAGCGTGGGTTCTTATCATCTGCGAACGTGCGTGTGTGTGTGTGCGGTGCAAGAAAGCACTTTGGCATGGAAAACGTCAAACATAACATGCTTACGGTGAACCAGCCGGTAGCAACAACAATAACAACATAACAACTCTCGCAAAGAAGCAGACTCAGCAGCAGAGTGCAACGAGAAACAAACAAGCAAGCAATCAAACATAATACAGGCGGGAAAGATTTGTCAAGCCAGAAACAAACATAAGCAAGCAAGCGAGCGAGCGAGCGAGCAAGCAAATAAACATCCGAGCAACAACCAACTAACCAAGCAACAAACCATAATCTCATTCATACACGAACACGCACAGCACAACACGCACACAAGCAAACAAACAAGCAAGCAAACAAACAAATCAACACACAAATAAACAAACAAGCAAATAAGCAATGCACAATAGACAAACAACAAGACCAAAAGCAAGCAAGCAAGAAAGCACGCACGCCCGCACGCAAACACAAAAACAAACAGACAAGCAAAAGTCACGCAGGCACACAAACAAACTTAGACACAAAACAAAACAAACAAGGAAGCAAAGAAACGAAGCCAATCGCAAGCAATCCGTCAATCAATCAAACAAACAAACAAACGACATAAAGACAGAACGAAGGCATAAGAGAGCTAATTGATAAACAAATAACGAGAGAACGTACGAAATCATGAATGAACCAAAAGAAACATAAAACAATAAAACAACAAGACAACGAAACAGAAAGTGCAAACAAAATCACAAAACAACAAAGCAAAAACACCTAAATATGACGCAAGCAAAACGTCAAGCAAGCAAGCAAGCAAGCAAGCAAGCAAGCAAGCAAGCAAGCAAGCAAGCAAGCAAGCAAACAAGCAAGCAAGCAAGCAAGCAAGCAAGCAAGCAAGCAAGCAAGCAAGCAGGGAAATGATATTATAACTCAAGCAACACATCAAGCAAGCAACACATCAAGCAAGCAAGTAAGCAAGCAAGCAAGCAAGCAAGCAAGCAAGCAAGAAAACCAGCGAGCGAGCAAACAAATAAACAAACAAACTGGAAACCACACATAATCGCAAAAACACAGTCGCACGCACACGAACACGGAACACGGACACTCGCGCGCACGCACCCACACACACGCACACGTACACGCACACACGCCCGACAGGCCCTCCGCTCGCATGCACGAGGTAGGTCTGCGCGACGCCCCGCCTCGGTGTTCACGAGCATGCTTGCGTAGTCGCACGCCACCTGATCAGATTGGCTCTGAGGCCCGAACGGCTGCAACTTGAAACCGTATCTTTCAGATGCCAAAGAGCACGTAAGACCTCTATGCCTAGAGCATGCTGTCACTTTGCCTCCCAGTGCGGCGCACCCAAGCTTCCGCCCTGCGAACAAGTGGGAAACGTGTAGACAAAAGGGTTGTTTTCCAATTGGCGTCCCGGTTAGAACTAGGCCAAAGCCTCACGAAAAAGGACATCCAAATAAGCTTCGACAACATGAACATCTTTGAGGGGCCTCTTGATTATCAATCAATGATAAGCTGCAAATATAATGCGATCAGAACAAACAGCTAGTTGGGGAACCGTTGGCTGACGGCGTGAATTGGTGGTCGAGATTGCAACAAGTGGTTCAATATCATTTTGAAGCCAAACGCAAGCATGTTCCAACAAGCCCCCAAAACAACAAAAGGATGAGCCATTCAGCACTCAAAAAACAGCACAACATAGTATACTTACAATGCCAACCAGCAAAATACGATATATATATAATGTTTGGACGCCCCGCTGGACCCTTGCTTCGTTGATCAGCACGCAGCTTGATTAGCGCCTAGGCTGGACTTGGCGCAAAGTATGTTGAAGCGTTTTGAAGAGTGGACCAGCTACGCCCATCCCGTTCTCCGAACCAGCATAGCCTGTTTTGACACATCCCATGTGTCAACTGCTGAGAAAATGAGTTGCTGCAATGTGGCTGAAACGTCTAAATGTAGTGTGACTCCCTCTGGCTGTGGCACCGCTCCATTTCCAATGGCAAAGCAAACACCCTTGCTGCAGCAACCAGGCTTAGCAGCATTGCCAGGACGCAGCTGCTGCTGTCTGAATGAGAGGATGTGAAACCTACCAGCCAGGAGTAGTACCAACAAACCAAGCTGAGGTGGCGGTGTATCAAAAAGCCAGGGACCCTTCAAATTGAAAACAAAACCTTTGCCAATTGCAACCCAACAACACATGCAATAGGCCATGGCCCCAAAAGCATAGCCACCAATCTCTGGAGCTGAGCAACCGCACAGCCGAAGCGGTAAGGGGGAAGTCAACAGTATCCCTGCATCAGCTTCAGTAATTCGCACAACTGGACACTGCGCAGTTGAAGGGTTGCCAAGGACGCTGACGGCTCTTGCCGTCCTGCCCACACTAATCATCCACTTCATACGATTGCAAATTGATCAGGATGAACCACCTCAGAAGGGAACCCGTGTCTTCTTGAGACGTCACGCAGTGATGTTTAAACCACCCAATAAGGACATACTAGGCCAGGTACCCCTGTCATCGCCTGTCGCAACGAGGACGTTTTGGGCCTCCACTGGGGTGTTGGCCTCGCGCAGCTGCATGCCTGCAACCGCCCGCAGCTGAATCACCTGGCGAAAGCATGCGGAAGCCGCGACTTCAAAAAGAGCTTCAGCAGTATTACAAACCAAGCACACAAGTTCCCCTAATGTCAGCAAAATGACAGTGGTTGTGAGTTGTGACAAACACGAAAGCAAACATGGCCTTACATCAAGACAACAACACAACAGCGACAAGCAGAAATCAAACTGCCAAGAAAAAGCACATCGCAGCAATCATGACAGGCACAACCAATACCATCCTAAAAGACAAAAACCTCAGGTCAAACTCGTTGATGATGGTGCTGGTCACCACCACAGGAAACGTAAATTGCAAAGGCAGCAAAGGCCAAAGCAGCAACTGACACGGCGCAAGACACAGCAGCGACGGACAATGGTGCTAGGCATGGCAGATGTTGACAAGAACGTCAAAACAAAACGGCAACATACATGATCAACTCGCAAACACTGCACCAATTGACATTCACAACGACAGCGACTGCAATTGCCGAAGCCATCAGCAGGACCTTGCCGCTAGTATTCCACCCCTACAACTCTTAAGGCAATTGTCAATACCCACACTACGGTACTTGTAGACAGCAGCTTTGACTCTGGCAAAGAGATGCTGCAAGTATCATGGTCAATTCATGCCATGAAGCCAGTCCACCATGCA